ATTTTATGCCAGCTGTTTTTAATAATTATGGTTATTTTTTTAGAATTGGCTACTTGTTGCTAGTAGCTATTTTTTACCGATCAAGGGGGAAAAAGAAACTTGCACAGGGACAGAGAAACTTGTGACTGTGATTCTTATCCAACTAATACTATGAGGTTCTTACTGACTAGAAATTTCCCCCTATAAAGCTTGCCGGTGCAGCAAGCTCCGGTGTATCCATTTGACTTTGGCTCTGGGAGAATTTGTTATTACTTGTATTCATACATTGTCCAGAATGACCCACAACGGATATAACTATCGGGCATGGTTTAAATACCCCGATGAAAAACATAATCGTATTAGCATCAAAGGTCCCTACTATCACTTGTATTTTTATGCACACCTCCTTACACCGTCAAATCTCCAGCCCAGCATTTTTATGAACTGTGCTGACCACTCGTCTACCAGCAGTTTTGGTTAGTTGCTTCAGAATCCTGTAGGAGCGGATCCATGAGGCCTCTCCGCTTTACTTCGTCGGATCCCTTATTTAGCTCGAAGGATCTTCTCAAAGTGTACCAAAGAGGCCTTAAATATTTATCTATTTTAATTCATTTAAAGCATTTGCGTACCCTTGTTATAGTCAACTTAATCTACATTATTTCTGGCCTTAAGATGCGTTCTTAAACTGGGTTTTATTTCCCTTTAGGTTGAACGGCACAAAAGTTCCATAACTCAAAATTTTATTGAAAAAGCTGGGTCTCTATAATATGCGCATATTTTTATATTTACAAGCAAACTATTATTAAAAAAGTTAACTTTTTTGATTTTAAATAAAATTTTTTACAAGTAGAATTACGATTTAAAAACAACACGAAATTATCGTTAAATAAAATAATAGCTAAACGTACAAACATTTATAATTAATATTAATAAATATAGATTTAATATAACACCAAACAGTTATTCAATTTTCTTAAACAAATTATTTCTTAAATATATAATTTTTTCTCTAACATCACCAGAAAAAGTTTCTAATTCATCGTCACTAAGAGTTTTAATTCTTTCTAAAATTTGTACTTTATTATCTTCTAAACTAAAACTCTGTTTGATAAAATCTGTTATTAATGATTCATCCACCAATTTTAAAAGTTTAAAAGAATAAAGAAGTGCATAAACCAGCTGATTATTTTTTGCAAGAAGTTCCTTAAAAAAAGTAGGTTGTGAAATTGCTAAATTTTTTAAATACAAAATAACTTCTTTTAAGTTATCTGCATCCATATTATTAAGCACATTAATAATATTATTTATGTCTAAAGAAGTTGTTTCTTCCTTTATCTCAACTGGTGTGTCTTTCTCTGCATAATTAATTACTACTGGTCGCCCATTAAAAGAAATGTTTAAATGTTTAATAGCCTTTTCTGCTATGAGGGGTGATTCATATTCACAAAACCCAAATCCTTTCGATTTATTTGTATTTTTATCAACCATTAGTTTAAAATCTACAACTTTACCAACAGCACCTAGTTCTTCTATAAGTTTATCAACAGGAACTTCAAAATCAATATTTCCTACAAAAACACTGCATCCCGATTTCATAAGGGTAAAAAACAAAAAAAATAAAATAATTTATTCAACTTCTTTATGCATTCTTTCAATGTGCTTAATTCTGGCTTCTTTTTTCAGTTCTAATTTTTTATCTCTTCCATTATCTAAATTAAATTTTACTAAAGTAACATTGCATGGATGTATAAAAGCTGGAACATTTTCTTTTTTTTCATTTTCTTCTAAACAACCTTCAATAGTAATTCTATATTTTTTTAAAATTACTTCCATAACCTGTCCTTCCTTTCCTCTAAAGGGTCCTGAATGAACTTTGACAATATCACCGACAGCAACTGGAAATGATCTAAATCCATATTCACTTCTTAAATCGTCAGAAAGATGACTACTCATTCTCTTAAGTCTATCCTTTCCAACAGCAGTAAACATAGCTTTCCTTTGTTTTTTTCTTAAGCTAGATTTAGTTTTTTTACCTGCTAACATTGAGGGGTAGGAAATTACAAAAATAATGCATTAAAAAATTTGTGTCTTATGATTTTATACTGAAAAGTAGGTAAGATTTCAAAAGTTAATAAGATTATTGAATTCTAATAAAATATTGAAATTTTTTACAAATCTGCAAAAACTCAAAACATTCTAAAAATCATAAACTTAATGTTATGATTGAACTATAGATTTAAATAATATTATAACTCTACTATAGATATTTATACCTTATAAGCCATACGGTGCTTAAATTTATATTACAAATATAATTCAATACAAGACTAAAAAAATAAAGAATAATCAATAATTGAAGCGTTACTAAATACATAAGGGTTTTATTTATAAAATAAAAATAATTAAATTAATCAATCCTTTACGTCTCAACCTTTTATATAATTTACTACTATTAAAATAATGAATTCCAAAGCTCCTTAAAACTTTCCTTGTATTTGCTTTTTTCCTCAATAAAAAGTTTAAGTAGGTAAGGAATTATCTTAATAAAGAAAGCAGCATCAAGTTTGGCTTCAACATAATTATTATTTAACAATTTTCTAAATTGTTCATTATAATAAATTTCTTTCTTTTCTTCTAATAAGTGTAAAAACTTACTAATATTATTATATTGATTTATATTAACTTGTTTATAATTATTTAATAAGTAATCTACAAAGCTATCTTCTATGTACAGATCTTTAGGAATATTTTCAAATGCTCCATTTAAAACTTCTTGAGAAAGATTGTGTAGATCTCTAATAGAAACTACAGAACCAGGTAAAAGTTCAGAAGATTTAATATTTTTTGTAGAATTTTCACTATCTTTTACATCGTCTACTGTTTTAATATCAGTTTCCTGTTTTTCTGAATCTGAAGAAACTAATGACATAATGCGCGATATTGTTTTATTTAGATTATTTTTTAGTTCTCTACTATCTTCTGTATTACACTCAAAATTTCTTAAAAAATCAAATAGCTGTAAAATTTTTTTACCTGTAAAAATTTTTTTAAATTGTTTATCTGTAATATAATAAATCTTGTCTGTAAATGATAAAGCATAATTGGTAAATGAAACCAAGGCTTCAAGCAATTCTTCAAATGAATCAGGTTTTACAGCATCATGGTTATCGCCAGCTTCAGTCGTATTTACATTTATAAGTAATAAACATAAAATAATCTGCAGATTCATTTTTAATGGGTGTAATCTTTATATTTAAATATTAATTAATTTTAATTAAAAAAAAGAATGTTTTGTTTATATCAATAAAAATTAAATTTTTACTAATAATAAACAAAAAAAACAAAGATGTCAAAAATATCATATTTGTGGAAACTTTATTAAAATTTCCCTATAAAGGCATTAAAAAGAATTATATCTTTATAATGCAAACACGTGTCATAAATATCAATATTAATAATATGTGATATAAACTACAGCACTAAACAAGAATTTAAAAGAGCTTAAATGTACTTTACATTCAAAAATTATATAAGAGATTAATCTTATGTTTTTAATTACAATTTAAAAATTATTTTTATATATTATTTACTTAAGCATCAAGAAAAAGTATAAGAAATATAAAATACTTTTTATAAAACTATAACATTCTAGTATTTAATATTTATATTTTATTTAATAGAAACAATAAATAAAAGATGAATTTTTCATAAATTTTGTATTAATCTTAACATTTATTATTTATTTTATATGTATTTGTGCAAACGATAAATTTATAAATTAATTAATTGCATTAATCAGAAAGTTTTTAATCATCAATCACTTTTTTGATGATGAAAATTTTAAGTAAAAATTTATTAATTTTCCCCTTCTATGTTGAGTAAAATAGAAAAAAATGAATTAACCCACCTCGATGAATCAAATGTAGAAAATGATGAATTATCAAATAGTTCACATAATTTTGAAGAAATTGAAGAATTTTCTTCTTCTTGTGAGCAGATCGATGACTCAAACGAAGAAGCCGTTTATTTTGGTGATGAAAATATATTTTTAGAGTCTTCTGAAAAGGAAGAAGCTGCTTGGTGTGATTCAGAATCAGATGAAGACATTTTAAGAGAAAAATATCAGAAACAGCCAGAATGGCTAAATTCTAAAAAATTTAAGAAGGTTAACTCAGTTAAAACATCTCAACTTAAATTGTCATTTACACCAGGAATTTTTAAAACTAATTTTAATATTAAATTGTTAAAATACCACTTATCAGAAATTTGTCTTGTAGATACAATGAATATTATTTATATTTTGGATAATTTTAAATTAAAATATACTATAAAATTAGATAAATGGTCAGTTTCAGATATTACATATTTTAACAATAAGATACATATCTGTAATAATAAATATAATAGAATTAAAAAGATTATTAATGGAGAAATAAGAGATATAAATAAAATATTTACAAGAAATATAAATAAATTAATATCTTATGATGATCAGTTATATATTTTAGGTGACACAACGGTGGTTGTTAATGGAAATTTAGAGATAATTAATGAATCATTTAATAAGTTGGTTAATCTTATTTCTTACAAAGATTCTTTATTGGCTTTAAGTAACAATGGAGATATTTTACAGTTCTCAAAAGATCTACAGTTAGTTAATAAGATGATTTATAAAGATAAGTTTTGTTTTACAGATTTAATTTATTTAGATCATTTAGTTGTTGTTACTAAATCCAGTGCTATATTTATTGATGATGATTTTAAATATTTTAAAGAGCTTAACAATGTTAGTAATATTATAGAACACAAAGATTATTATTTTTATTTTACATCTAATGGATTACAAATTTTAAATAAAGATTTTACAATAAAAAAGCATAAAAACAAAATAAAGCCATGCAAAATATTTATAAATACAGACAATATGATATTATTGTGTAGTTACAGGGAATTGCATAATTTAATAATAAATACATTATAATATTATACCCCTTTATGATTGTTTTAGTACTTTTATTTACATTTTTTCTTATGGCAATAGTAACTATAGGTGTATTATTGGCTACAAGGAGTCAAAAGATTAAATGGAGAAATGAATATAGAGTAGGAATTATAGGTACAATATGGTTTGCATACGTTTCATGGGCCTGTATTTACATGGCACAATTTAGACCGAAATATGAAAAAAAATAAATTTTTAAATGTATTTAATATTAGTTCATTAATTTTTAATTAATAAATGTATCAAATAATGGGTCCTTGATACATTTAAATAGTAAATTTAGTAAATCTTAACATATTTTATTGTTTAAAATAGTAGACCTTTAATTTACTAATTATAATTCCAATTCATTTAGAGGCCAATCTTCAAATGAACCATCAGGAAATTTACGTCTTACAATAAAAGGTATTTTCCTTTCTTCTAACTCTTTTCTGGCAATTTTAAGACTATCAGTCTCATCTTCTATATCTACAAAAGGTGGTGCACCACCATTCAGTTGTGAAGCTCTAACCCCCAAAATATGTGCTCTCTCATATTTTGTCAACTTTGGAATTGTAACTTTCTTATTTTTATCTTCTATTATTTCCATAGGTTCATGCATTTATGGGCATAAATTTTTATTTTTTATCCCTTTTTATGATTGTCGGTGCTTTTATAGTCAATAAATCTCAAATTGTTTCGAGATTCACTGAGCCACTTTCTGTTTCTAAAATAGAGATGTTAATACTGGATTACATACAGAATCCCAATCCTCTTGTTATACGTGGCCTATATAAATATATATCTTATGTTTTCAACGAAGTGTCTTATGTTATTATTACTTCTTTACAATTTAAAGAATTGGAAGCTAAAAAAATTCTAAAGTTTCTTTCTAATAATTGTACACTTGATCCAATAGACCAGATAGTTACACTAGATAATATTTTGTATGATAATAATTATTTGTTTCCTAATCTTAGTTTAATTAAAAATATGGATAGTCAAGAAGAAAAAATTTATAAGATGATGATGAAAAATAAAGCAGGCGAAATGAAGAAAAAGTACAATAGTTTAAAAAAATCTACCTCGTCTATTAAAAGTATACCATGCCAAAGTTATATATCCAGTAAAAGCGTAGGATTAGACATTCAAGGCGATGATAAAAAAGATATTAATGTATCTATCAACAATAAACCTAGATCATTTGAAACAGGCAAAAAAGATATTTTTATTCTGTTGAAAGAAAAAATGAAGTGTCAAGTAGACGTAGAAAACAATATTAAAGTCTTAGAATTAAACGGTGAAATGACTTTAAATATTAAAAATGAAAAGTATAAAAATATACAAATTGATGTAAAAGGTGACACTTCAAAATGTAAATTTAGTCCTAAACTTGACAAGGAAGCAGTTAAATGTAACATTATAAGAAGTAGTAAAGATTTTAGCCTTAATAAAAATATTGCACTAATGAAATGGAAATTTCAGGACATTAAAAAATTACCAATAAGTTTTACATTCTGGCCTAGTGAAATTAAACCAAAGACTTTTCAGGTTAGTCTTGAAATTACAGCAGAAGAGGATCTTGATAATCTTTTAATTTACATTCCTACAAAAAATATGCTAGAAAAAAATACTAGTGAATTTTTAGAATGGAACGTAGGAAACATTAAAAAAGATAATTCTGATTCATTTGATTTTCAGTGTAAATGTAATGATATTGTAAATATTTTTCCTATCGATGTTTATTTTACAAGCAATAAAATTAATTTAGAAATTGAAGAAGTTAAAATTAAAGAGACAGAAGGAGATTTAGAAATTAGAAAAGTTTTGGAGGCGGAAGAATTTAAACTTGAATATGAATAAAATTTTGAACTTTTTTTTGTAAAAAATTATTGGTTGTGTTTTGTGTAACATTTTTGAGATATTAGACACCTTTTGAAAACTAAAGCATAAAAATAATATTTTATTTTTTAATTTAATCAGCAATATTTATTTTAATATTAGTTTTTATGATTTAATCAAAATTAACATTCTTACATTATAAAACTTGATATTAACTTCATAATAAATAATTTTAGTATTAACATTTTGTTTGTCAATAAAAAACAATATTATTTTTTATTGGTACTTTTTTTTATAAATAAACAGTCAACGACATTGATAATGAAATTTACCATTTTTACAATATTAGCTATACAATTTATACTAGCCGACGAAAAAGAGCAGAAAAAGAAATTACCTAGTGGAGAAGAAGATACATTTGAAGGATATTTTTTTAAATAAATAAATGCACATTTAAATTAATATTTTTATTTTATTTTCTTAAATACAGTACTAAAGTTTAATAATCTTATATATTAATTTTCAATCAAAATGCTTTTACACTTACAAACAAAGATATATTTAATATCTACATATTATTTATAATATTAGAAAAAAATTAAAAATTTTATATATGCATTTTCAATTCAAAAAGTTTTTCCAGTTTTCTGTTAAATTGTATTTATCTACACATTAGATATAACGTTTAAAAAAATTTAATGCTAAATATAAATTAGTTCTTGAGCAAAATAAAAAATTTAAGCATAAATATAAATTATTAATTTGAAGGTTAGTATTTTCTTTTATATTTGACTTATCGCTTAAGTGACACCACTGAACATATTTGGTGAAAGATTCAGAATCATAAATCTAATTTATTTAAATTTGTAAGTATTTTTATTAACATACAAAATGTTAATAAAAATAAAATAACGCTTTCAAAATATTGTAAATAAAAAATAATTTATTTAAGAGGAACAAATTTAGATCCTGCATGATCTGCAATACCTGGTTTACCGTGTTTGGGGTGTACACGTGTAGGAGCAAAATCTGATAACAAACAGCCCAACATTTCTGGTCTTATTTCAACTGGTAAATATCCATTTCCTACATGTACTCCAACAATACTACCCACCATACATGGCCATATTATGGCACTTCTAGCATGTGTCTTAACAATTTCAGGCTTTTCATGTGCATTAGTCAATGCCTCTTTAGATGCTATGCATGATTTTATAAGTTCTACCTCTCTCCCCGATAATCCTCTTCTTACTCTACGTCTTAATCTTGAAGGAAGAAGTTCAGCAAATTCACTGAATTTCATTGTTTTTATAACGTCAAAATCAACGCCTCTGTATGAAAATTTTCTAAAAGATTTTTTTTCTGGTGCTGCCATTTGAAGGGTAAAATTTAAAAAAAATATGTGAATTGAAAAAGAATTAAAACATAACTAGTTTATTTCAATAGTAATTCACTTTTTATAAAATTAAATTTTACCATTTTATCTATAACAATTTTTTTAAAACTCGTTCTGTTACTAAATATTTCACAAAAAATTTCTAAAAATATTTTTTGCTGCTCTTCATCCATTTTCATTTCATTTTTATAAATTTCTAAATAACTTAGAAAGTGTGAGACTGATGGCGATCCTAAAAGACAAAAATCCCTGTAAAAATCTTTTTTATTTTTATTAAAATCAAGGTCTTCTTTTTTTATTGAATTAATTGACCCAACTTCATAAATCGATTTAAATTCTGGAATAAACAATTCTAGGCTCTGTAAACTTAAAAATTTTCTAAGCTCTTCTACAGTGTCTTTGTCAATAAATTTTTTTAATTCTAAAATTTCTTCGGGTGTTTCAAATGGTATGTTTTCTTCCTGCAAGTTCTTAAATTTTCTTCTATTGATAAACCATTCATAGATAAAAGCAATAAGCCGGTCTCTTGTATCTTTTTTCATTATAGGAAATATTTTAAGTAAAATTTTTGAATTTTCTTCATTGTAAATAGATCTAAGATAAAGATTAATTAAATAAAATGAATTAATACTACTATTATTAATTAAAAACAAAATTCCAATAAATATCTCATAAGTGGAATATTCTTTATGTAAAACATCTAAACATTCGTAAATGTCAAATTGATAATTTTCAATAATGCTTATAATTTTAAAAAGAGAGATCTCATTAAAGTTAACAAGATTACTTTTAATATCTCCATCCAAATTCATCCTAATATTATCAATAAATATTTCTAAATCATTCAAAAATTCATTAACTTCTACTTCATTTACAATTTCTATCTTTTCGTCTTTAAAAAAATCATTTTCTACCACTTTTACTTTAATTTGCGATACTTTACAGTTTAAGCTTTTACAATAAATTAAAAAGGATACATATGTCTTTACTGAACTACAAGTAAGCTTAGTAAGATCCTTAATATCTTGAATAAAACCAGAATTGTCATGACACAAATCTACTATTAGACGAGATATACTATCTACTTTATGTGGTGCATACAAAAAACAATCTTTAAAAATGTTTATAACATCCTTCTTATCTGTATTTTTACAAAAGGACAATGCCTCTTCATAATTTAATGCATTAAGATTTAATAAATTCACCATTAAGGGTTTTTATAGAAAAATAAAATTTATTTGTAGAGTAATTTTAAACAAAATATTTATTAATTTGTGGAGTAATTTTAAATAAAATATTATATTTATTTGTAGAATAATTTTAAATAAAATATTTATTAATTTGTAGAATAATTTTAAATAAAATATTAAATTTATTTGCAGAGTAATTTTAAATAAAATATTATATTTATTTTCAATCAATCAAATAGCAATGTATATAAATCATAAAAATTATCAGCTAGAAAAAGAAGATTGTAAATACGATTAAATTTCATAACATGGGGTTTTGTAATATTTCTTTCCTCACCACCCTTTCCAACCTGGTGTACATAGGCTGTATGCGTCTCTATATCTATTGTAAGATCCATAGAATCATCCACATCTTTGTATTTGTTAATAATAGCCGATATTTTTTTATTAAGTAAAAGATTAAAATCATCACACATTAGGGGAATAAAAATATATTTCTTAATCGTTTATACATTTTTTATTTTTTGTCATAAAAAACCCTGTTTATTTTACCCTTATGATTTTTAACAAAAGCTATTTGACTACCTTTTCAAAAAATAAACCATTTTTAGCCTTAGCAAGTAAAGGGAAAATTATTGATTCAAAATTTACACTTAGCTCTGAATTAAGTTTGTATGATTACTCTGAAGATATACATTATTCTCCATTACAAACAGATAGTGAATATTGTAAACTGGAATGGTGTGAAAAAGAGAATTTTCAAATTTTAGCATGTGGCCACACTAATGGATCAATAAGTCTATATGAACCAAATTTAGATGGTAAATCTTCTAATGATGAATCTTTTAGGTTGGTGAAATCTTTTGAGGGATTGAATGGTAAAGTTCTAGGTATAGATTATAATAGCAATAAAAACGTTATAGCTGCAGGATCTGCCAAGGGAAATATTATATTTTGGAATTTAGATAAAATAGATCAGCAATATAAATGCGATATTCCAATTACTGAAAATATTACTTCATTAGCGTGGAATACAAAAGTTTCGCGAATTTTATGTGCAGGTACAGAATGTGGTAAAATTCTAATACTAGATATTAGAGCGAAAAACGTTGCTATGACATTGCAAAATAAAGATATAAAAATTATTAATAATGTAAAATGGCACCCTAAATGCAGTACAACAATTTTTGCGTCTACTAATTTGCCTTATTTGGCTTGTTTCAAGTTAGATTCAAATAGTATGACACAAGTGGGTAAATTTGAATCTTCAACAATAAGCTTTAATTCTTTAAATGAAAATACAATAGTTTGTTATAGCGACAACCAAGCAGATTATATTGATGTAGATACACTTACTGTCAAAGAATCTTTAAAAGTCGAAAATGTTTTTGATGTGAGTTTTAGTCAAAAAGATCCAATTTATTGTTGTTCATACAACACTGGCACTACAGAAATATTTTCTAAAATGCTATCAAGAAATGAAGGTAATTGCCAGGTACAATTAGACAATTATATTGTAGGTAAAAATATTTATAAAATAAGAAGAGAAAAATTAGAATTTAAAGAAAATGATAATGCAGAAAGTAAAATATTTGATATTTTGTATGCAGGGAAAAATTTTAATTTTAATAAAGAAACAAGAAAAACTTTGGGTAATTTTTTATTAGACAATGCTTCTATGCTATTTAATGTTAAGTTAGAGAAAACTCAAAGTGAAATAAAGTTTGATTTGACAGATAAAGTAATTCTTACACTGATTAAAAATGAAATTACAACCAAAGAAGATATTTTTGATGGAAGGACTGTTAGTTTAAATTTTTTATTTCAACTTTTATTAAAAAATGAAGAAATTGAAATAAGTGATCCTTTATATTTTTTGCTTAATATAATTATTAATAAGAATTATACTAATTTTTGGAAAAGTATTTCATCTGATCAATGGCCTATTATGATTGCTATTCTTATCTTTTCTGACCTTTCCGATGAGGAAGTATTGACAAGAATAAAGGAGATACAAAATGATTTGCAGATACCAATACTAAATTTATTGATAAATGAACCGCAATTATATTTTAATACAAGAGAAACTGTTACAGATTTACCTAAAAATATATTTGAAATTTTACCATTTTTTCAAAGATATGGTAGTGAACTTATTGTGTTAAAAAAGCTTAATTTACAATACAATAATCCATTACTTAATGAATATTTTTGGTTTGCAAAAAATTACGGTATGTACAATGATTTAAAAGATGTAAATTTTGAAGATAAAATTATTAAGACATATATTAATGGTGGTGAATTTAATGAAAAAAAAATAATTGATAAACTTGAAAATGTATCAATAAAAGCATCTGATTTTGTCAATAAAACAGTCACAGAGCCATCCAACCAATCTTTGTTTAAAAATGCACCTAAGCCATCATTGTACTCTAGTGGGGCGAATAAAAGTGTAACTGGATTTTCTACAAAGCCGATGCCTAAGACGGATAGTCAAGAAAATGCAACTGCTGTTACTAATAACAAGCCTTTACCATCGAAAAAATCTCTTTATTCCGGCGTTTTGAATAGGAGCATGACAAACTTTAGTTCAAAACCAGGTACTCCTGTTTCTACATATGGACAACAAAGGACTATTCAAACACAGCCAAACACGTCGTTTGCTAAAAACAAGCCCGATGTTATTCCTACGCCTTTTAATCGTCCTAATTTGTCTTCGACTTTATCCAATCCAGCTAGTAAAAATGGTTCTTTTCCTATACCTACACCATCTATGCAATCAAAATCCTCAGTGTACACGCCCAAGTCTTCTTCTAAAGATGTAACATCACCTGTTTTACCTGGTACACAAAAAACTGAAACCGCTGCTTCATCAACTTATGATGTTGTTGCTATAAGTAAAGATTTAGAGGAGGTTTTTGAAAATCTTAAACAAACCGCAAGCAAAAAAAATAATTTAATTGTTGGAAATAAAATTAAAGATGCTGTGCGACGTTTTGCTATTTTTCAACAATCTAATAAAAATGAACTATCATTACCACTGGTAGAAATTATTACTAAGATTTTAGATGTAATAAATTCTGAAGTAGATAAAACAATGTTGAAACATAAAGTCAGATCGCTGATTGAAGATGCTAATGACGTTAAAAATTTACAAAGTGATATTTGGTTACCTGCTATTGGTATTTTAGTACAACTGGTTTATTAAAAGTTTTATTTTATATATTTACATTATTGAATCTCTCTTTTGTTATAATTATATTCTAATAGGTCTATTATTTCATCTGCCGTAAGTCGGTACCTAAAATCAATTAGTAGACATCCAACTATTATATCTATAAAAAATTCTGGAACATTTATTTTTGCGCATAAAATCTTTTTAAAATAAGATTTGCCTCTTCCAATATGATTATTAATTAAATCAAGCATTTGCATTTTTGTTTCCGCCGGGAAAAGAGGTTCTAGAAGAAATATCTCATAAATAATACACCCAAAACTCCATATATCGACATAGAAACTATAATCAGTCGTTCCATACAACAATTCTGGTGATCTATACCACAATGTAACGACCTCACACGAATAAGGTGGCATTTTTATTTCCATACTACGCGACAAGCCGAAATCGGCAATTTTAAGATTTCCGTATCGGTCTATTAAAATATTTTGTGGTTTCAAATCTCTGTGTACAATTTTATTTTTGTGCAGAAATGCAATCCCCGACACAAGTTGATTTATTAAAATTATTGGATTGCCTTCATTTTTTGTTAAATATTCTCTCAAATCATAATCCATTAACTCAAAAACAAGAGTTAATAGATTATCAGTATGAATAACTCTATACAGAGAGATTATATTTGCGTGTTTTATTTTTTTTAATATTGATATTTCTCTCAATGCTGTGCCAGGCATCCCTTCATTCTCGTTAAGTTTTATTTTTTTAAGCGCGACTTTACAATTTTTTTCGATATCCAATGCCTCATAAACATCACCATATGTTCCCGATCCTATTTTTTTTCCTTGTATGTATTTTGACATTTTATGGTTAAAAATAAGTGGCATGAATAAATATTAAATTTGCCCATAAAATGAAAAGCGCAAAAATAAATAAATGTAAAAATGATAAGTTTGAGTTTGGAAAGTCAATTATAGAAAAAAGATTTGGAAGTCTAGAATTATTAAAAATACAAACAGAATCGAATAATAAAACAGTTAAAAAAATAAACAAAGAAAAGAAGTTAAATTTGAGTAGCAACATAAAAAATACAATTTGTAAAGATTCTATTACTGAATATACAGGTGCGGATAAGTTATCAGAACTATTGATTATAAATAATAAAAATATTTATAATTCTAAAAATGAAATATTAGATAAAAATGAATGTTTTATGGATTTCACTGGCATTAATTTGTCTCTTAGCATTCCACCTAGATTGCCATACAATTGTTGTAGTAAGGAAGAATACAAAAAGAAGGAAGCTCTTGTTTTTAATGAATGGAAAAAAATAAATTATAATTATATTTTTGAGAGGAATATTGAAATTTGGAGGCAGTTTTGGATTACTTGTGAACGATCTGATATTATTGTACAAATCATTGATTCTAGAAATCCAAATTTTTTTATTAATAAAGATATTTTAAATATGTATCCTACAAAGAAACATGTAATATTTTCTAATAAAGCAGATTTAACAAGCACAAGAATAAAAGTTGACGGATTCGATATTATTTATTATTCAGCGATAAATGAAATACAAAATGTTATACATTTTTTAGAAAATATAACGGAAAAAAATATTGGATTTATTGGATATCCAAATGTTGGGAAAAGTAGTACAATTAACGCTATTATAAATCGAAAAAAAGTTAAGGTTAGTCAAACACCAGGCAAAACAAAATTTATTCAAACAATTTTATATGGACAAGATAAAATACTTTTAGACTGTCCTGGACTTGTGTTTCCTAAACATTCCAAAACCAATTTATTACTAAATGGAATACTTAATGTCGATAAAATTATAGACTTAAAAGCGAGCTTATATGATGTTATTAATTTTATTGGAATACAAAAACTAGAAAAATATTATAGATTTGTTTCTGGTTGCACTTCAGAAATTAATTTTATAAATGAATTAGCTCATTTTAAAAATTGGTCTATTTCTTTAACAATTAAAAATATTATTAAAGATTTGTTTTGTGGAAACATACAATACGATAAAATAGAAGAAGAATATAAGAAAAATAATAACTATACATACGAAAATACTTAATTTTTACTATAAAAAATAAATGCATTTTTATCTATCTCTTCTTACTATAAAATATTAGACTAATTATTACCCTTAATGAGAAAAGTATTAATTAAAAATATTAAAACATCTGAAACAATAGAAGGATTTTTAGAATGCATTTATTATAATTATTTAGTAATTATATTAAATAAAAATATAAAAAAAAGAATTGTTTTGGATATTTTTGACGAAGGTTATTCTATTCTAATGGAAAACTCTGAGCTACAAAAAGAATTATATAATTTATTCGATTTTATCAAACGTCAAAATTTTGATATTAAAAAAATTCAAATTTGTAACTGTTTTCGCAATATTTTATGCATAAATTGTTTGTTTGTACATGCAAACAAATTACTTTTGAAAAATGATAATATAATTTTTTCGCATAGAATAGATGTAGATACAAATAATAAAAAATATTTAGGACTTTTTTCAGATATTTTTACATATAATTTGCCATTAAAAAGTAATGTTCCTGATATCTCATACAATGATATACTAAATTACAATATGTCTATTGAGGAATCACTTGCAAATTTTTCAAAGCACTACAACTCTTTATTTTACCACTTTAAAAAAGTAATGAAGTGTTTTGATGTGAGAGCTTTTTTTGAACATTACTCTGCTTCAAGCAACCTAGATTTATATCTTCTCAATGAGGCGGTCTTGCTTATTTTAATTAACAGTAGTTCTGATTTTTTAGATTTATTTTTTGCATATTTAGGTGAAATGATAAAATACATTAATCATTCACCCAACTTTATAAAGTTACTTATAGGTCTATGCAATTTATCTAAATTTAGAATGACTGAAGTAGTAATTACTTATGATTTATTTACAGTGTTGAAAATCAAAGATAGTTTAAGTGCATTTTATTGTTATAAATTATATCAAATGCTAGATAAGGATTTGATATCAAGATTTGACAAAAAACATCCCGATTTTGGTGTTTTTAAAGATAATTTTTTCCGATTTAATGATCAAGTATCTTAAATAATTAAGCAGAATTATTTTTTATAAAATTTATTAAAAGTTTATAGATTATGTAATAAACATAACAACTTAGAACATACAATGGAAAATAAATTACGTATTTTGGTATATGAAAAAACGGATAAATAAGAATACATACAAAGTAAATCGGTGTTAATAAAATCAATATGGCAGATAATAGATTCTTGTATATTTTTAACATTTATGGGCTAATTTTTTTTATTTATGTTAGCAGATTTAATACTTTAAAAGTAAAACCCCAATTAATGTTAATAACAGATATTGAAGATAAAATTAATCAGATATATCCTTTGTCGGGGGCTCAAGAATGGGATAATGTAGGCGTGCTTGTAGATACAGGTTCTTCTTCGAATAAGGTTCTATTGACTATAGATGTTACAGAGTTGGTCATTGATGAATGTAATAGATTAGGAATAAAGCATATTATTAGTTATCATCCAGTGATATTTTCTGGCGTCAAAAAGCTTTTGAAAAATGATATAGTAACAAAATTAATAAAATTTGATATTAACGTTTTTTGTCCTCATACTTCTTGGGACGAAGAAATGAATAGATATCTGTTTTGTCTTCTAGATAATCAAAATGTAGAACAAGTTTTTGATACATTAAAGAACAAAATTGGACTTAAACATATCAGAGTTGCCAATATGTCCGCAGGTCGTAAAAGTCTTGTAGTCGGGGTCGGTTCTGCTTTTAAATATCACGAATACAAGAATTCACTTATTGTTACTGGTGAAATGTCTCATCACTGTCTTTTACATTCTATTAGACATAATAATACAGTTATTTTGTTAGAACATTCAAATAGTGAACGGGTTGTATTACCATATTTTAAAGACAAACTGGAAAAAATTTTACCAGAATGTGATATTTTTATATCAAAAAATGACAAAGATCCTATTGATATTTTATAATTAAACTTTCTTATTTTTTTCTATTTAATTCTACAAAGCTTTAGTTTTTTGTTACTAGCTTTTTATAACTTTTCCGCATAACCTGAAATAATTTCATTTTCTGTAAACAAATCTTTGAAAAAATTATCCTTATTTGATGCCAAACATTTTAAGAAAAAGTGTACCACTCAAAAATATTACTAATGTTAAAAAAGATATTTTAAAACCATGTAAAAATTTATCAAATGATGAAGAAATAATCTATAAATCACAAGTAGCGCATGACAAAGTTGAAATATGCATGGTTTATAAATACAATATCGATATATTTAACTTTTTAAAAGAAATAGATTGCAGTTATAGATTTTTTAATGAAGAAATATCTTTTAAAGACAGGAGTAATATGGTAGATTGGATTATATATGTACATAGTAGACTTAATTTGTCACAAGAGACACTTTTTCTTGCTGTACATATTATTGATAAATTTTTAATTAAAAAAACAATACCTCACAATAAATTATTTTTAGTAGGTGTTTCTGCTCTAATGATAGCGTGTAAATTTGAAGAGGTTGTATGTCCAACACTCAACAATCTAGTAGTTCTTAGTGGATACAAAGTAACAGAAGATGATATTAAAAAGGCAGAAAAATACATGTTACACATTTTAGAGTATAATATATTGTTTAGTAATCCGCTAAATTTTCTTAGAAGATGTAGTAAAGCTAATAATTACGAAAAGAAAAGTCGAACAGTTGCCAAATATATATTGGAATTAAGTTTATTGTATGAGAACTTATTAGAGTTTACTGGGTCAGTGAAGGCAGCCGCGTCTATGTATTTAGCACGGAAGATAACGCAACAAGACACGTGTAAAAATCTTTTTACGTTGTATTCAGGACATTCCAAAGAAGAACTACGAGAATGTTTTAATAATTTAATACAGATAATAGCGCAGCCAATTGAGTTTGAAAACATCAAAAAGAAATATGATACACAAAAGTATAATTTTATAGCTACATTTGTCAGTGATTATGCAAAAAAGACATTTTATTAAAAATTTTCTGTCTTTCATTTTTTAATTATTTTACATAGAATATTATGTACTTTGTCATTTCATTTCTAAAAAAACATGTAATTTGTAACAAAATTTATTAAAAATTTATATTTATTCTAAATTGATGAAAAAAATTTAATCTTTATTTTCAACTTATGTTTCTTCAAAGCAAAAGATAATAATATATTTTTACAAATATTTTTTTTAAAACTTTGTCTTGCATAAAAAGATCTATTTAAAAAGTATTTCATTCCGTGTTGGTGAAAATATAAATATTTTATATGTGATAGTTTATAAATTTAAGATAAATTCTACATTTTAATGACAAAAGATAGATATTATTAATAAAAAAATAAGTTTATTTATTCATAGAATTATATAAGACCAATTAGTTAAACTATTAACCTTATAATATCTTCTCAACACATATTATTTTTTTCTTCCCTATGTATAATAGTCAGATAGCTTGTGTCCTATAAATAGTTTATATTTACAAAAGATAACAAGTAAAATTTATTCATTTCATAAAGAGAAATTAAAATCTAAGAATTTATGACTAGTATTATATAACAATCTACACTATTCATATATTTTAAAGTAGTATTGTACTCTTTAAAGTTATATAACTTAATTAATGTTTTACATAGACTAAGTTATTAGTGTCTTTTGTCAAAACGGTTTTATTTTTTAGCATAAATGAAAAGAAATACCTTTTAATAAATTTTGGCACAAAAGATCTTAAAATTTACAAAATTAAACTAAAGATAAATAACATTCTTTAATAATAAAAAATACGATCTAAAATAAATTCATTATCCCCAAAATCACATTCTTGAGCACATGTCCATATAAAAATTATCTACCTTAGGAACAAGAGGTAAAAAGCATTGAACAAAATCATAAGACTTAGAATGCAAATGGGAATTTTCTAATTGATGTATTCTTTCCGTCAGATATTTATTCTGTAATTTTAAATAGTAATTTTCTTTCTTTAGAAAATCCAATTCTTTTTTTTTCTTTTCTACACTTCTCCTTGCTGACTGTCTATTTTTTATAATTTTAAGCATTTCCTTATCCTCTGATGCTCTCTTCATGCGTGTAGAAGGGTTAAAAAATATTTTTTGTAAAAATTTACTAATAAACTCATAGCAGTTAACCAATAGATGTTTATAATTTAAAACTATTTGTTTACTAATTATTGATTCAAAAATAAAAAATCTACCCTTTTTTATATGGCAGTTTATATTGAGACAGAAGAGTCAAAGCTAGATTTTAATAATTCGAATACAGAAATAGACACTGCTTTACAAAGCCGTGATATCAAAGATTTAATTGAGGAGTATTCTTCTGTTGAACACTTACAGTATATTTTATATAAATATGCATCTTATCTTGATGAAGACATTCTTCTTAGATTATTAAAACACAGAGACACATACATTTCTTATAAGTCTTTTAGTTTATTAACAGAACTGTATAAGAAGTGTAAACATAAAAAAGAATATATTATATTTTTTAACTACATGATAATGGAAGATTCTACTTATGAAGAAAAGAATCAACTTCTAAGTTTATTTGTTACTTTTATTTCTTGTAAATCTGTAAAAACATTCAATCTTGAAGATCGTAAATTAGAAGTAATAAACGATGAAAGACTTATTAGTAATTTACAGAAGTTAATTACAGTTAGAGAATTGCAGTATAATATTTTATTATTTCTGTATGTGTATTCCTTTTCAGAATGTTATGTTGAAAAGGTGTGTACATTTCTTAAATTATTGATTTTTATATTAAAAGACAGGAGTAGAGAGAAAATATTAAGAATATGTTATTTTATTTTAGTTAATATTCTTAACTCTGCTTGTAAACTTAGTATTAATCAAATTTATGAATTGAGAAAAATAACAAATAATTTATGCGAGTCAAATATCAGCGATGAGGCGCTAACAGAAAGTTTGAAAAATGCGCATAAAATTTTAGAAAAAAAACATAACGAGTACACTATAGAAAATTATGTTACAGATTTATTTAAAGGGATTCTAGAAGACCATGATTATCACTATGATGAAGTATTTTGGTCTTCTGGCTATCCACGTATCTCTAAAAATATAGTAGACATTATAAAATTACTTAAAAAATATTTAAAATCTCATAACAGTAGTTGGATCTGTTTAGCTTGTAATGATATTTACATGCTTGTAAAATCTAATCCACAGGTTCATAATCTTATATCTAAGCATAAAGTTAGAGATGTCTTGTACGAATTAACAAAAAGTGAAAATGATGAAATACGCTTTAAAGCCATACAAGCACTTTATGCTTCTATTTTTAGTGAGTGGAATTAAATATTTTTTTAATTATTGTTGTACGAAAATACAAGATGTAAAAAACTATATTAACATATTTTTAATATTTATAACAAAATTTTAATGCTAATATGTTATTTTTTATTAATATAATACCTTATTATGTTCATTGATATCGATAAGTATTAATAGCATCTTGTAATTCTTTACAAGTTAAAAAGATGCATAAAATTAACATGAACAGTAATAAAAATTATTATTTTAATGCAATATGTTTACAATAAGCTAATAGTTGTACCTGTGAAAATTTTAATTTTTTGAATTACTTGGTTAAGCTGCATCATGTATTACTAAAACTTTACTTTTAGTATATAATTTGTAGATAATTAATTTTAAGTTTTTTGAAATATTTTTTTAATACTTATATAATCTGCATCATGTATTACTAAAACCTTATTTTTAGTATATAATTTGTAGATAATTAATTTTAATTTTTTTTGAAATATTTTTTTAATTAAAATTTTATAACAAATTTAATTAAAAATAATTTTTTTTTAAAATATATAAAAATCTTTTTACTCTCGTAGAAATGAATTTTATAAAAGGTGCTGTCATAGCCTTTGATCTATAACAAAACAAATATTTTCATTTAAAATATTAAGTTCCCACAATTGAGACTTTAAAATAAACAAAAAATATAAAACTTAAAAGAAAAGAATATAAAATTTAGAAATTAACAGCAGCCGAGAAGAAAGGTTTTATCATCGAGTTATTTTTTAGGGAAATTTTACAAATCATGGAAATAGAAATTTGAATTTTTAAGCATATGATTAAAGAATTCTTTGTTGTAGGAAGATAGAATGATACGCTTGTTGCAGAGACTGAACAAAGATTTCAATATGTAACAAAAATTTGAAAGATGGCATAGAAAACAAAATTGGGGCAAGAAACAAATTGTTGGCGACGAAATTGGTATCAAGAAAAGATGTTGTAGTAGTTAAGTAAACAAAAGCTTTTAATACCAAAAAACTATAAAATATTAATTAAAAAATACTAAAGTTGCTGAATCAAAAATATGTTAAAAATTGAAATGATATTGATTTTAAGTAGGAGTTTTTGTTCGCTACAAAAGCGCATTTGAAAAAAATGCGAAAGAAAGTTTTGATGATTTTTTTGAATGTAAAATTTGAGATAAATTAGGTTTCGTGAATTTTTACGATATTATAAAATATTTATATAATAATAGTTTTAAAGCGGCGGAGGAACAAAGGGACAGCTTAGAAAATTTTATTAAAACAAGTCGCATTTTTAATGGTTAATGTATTACCATCAATGAAAAATTTTGTAGAAAAAAATAAAACTATGTATTGTATTGACATTGCCTTTAACTTGGCCTTTACATTGTAATAAAACAAAAAGAGTTTTTTAATAACTTTTTAATAAAATTCTAAATTTTTTTAAAATCTATAAAATATTAAAAGAAAAGTGTACCCTTTAAGGCGTATGGATTGGAATATATCACAAAAATTGTTAAAACATTTGATATTACTTTGTAGGTAGCTAAAAAACAAATTTTGCTTAAGAAGATGTAACATATACACTTATTATATTTTTAGACATGAATTTTGATGCAACGAAATCTTGCTGTTACAATTATTTAGCTGCTTCAACAATTTATGAAGTTTTGAAACGAAATTTTAAAATACGAAATATAAAAAATCTATTATTAATTTTTAAATTTTTAACAAAGATTTGTTTATGTCCCTGTTTGATCTGATGAAGCAGGCACAATATTTATATCTGGCTTTTCTCCATCTCTGATGAAATTTTATGTAGTAATAATCCTTCTATGATTTTACCGCTAAAAATTATGGAGGATGCTATAAAAGTTAAATTAAATAGTAGAACTTTTTATGTAAAAGCAGCTAGAGATCAAAATTTATTAAATTTTAGTTTTTAATGATTGTTTAAGTTTTTTTCACAATACACATCTCAAATTCTAAACAATGTTATATTGTAGTATTATCCTTGCAATTTTTTATTAATTTTTACACTACTTTTTTTATACATTTGAAATTTTGTAAAAAAATAATACACACGATTAATTAAAAGTTTTGAATATTTAAAAATGTCAAAATTTATCAATTAACTTCAAACTTATGTATATGTTATTTAAACAATAAAAATTTTCATTTTTTTGCAAATTTAAGGTTAACCAATGTTATATTTACTCAGAATAAGACACTACGTTGTTTGTTTATAATTAATAATGACTCATTTGATCAACAAATAAAGTTATTTTAGTGAATTAAAAATTATTAATAAAAAAATCACGACATTTAAACGTAAAAACAAACAAACAAATGCATTTTATTTTAAAAGCAGCAATACACTATAGTTAATTAAATATATGCATTGTTTATATTTTTTTTTATGCATATAAATTAAATTTTTGCCTTTACCCCCATATGTTTAAAATAATAATTCTTATAGCAAATATAAGTTGTGTTTCAAACATTTATCCAAGCCGATGTCAAGATAGAACCCAAGAAGACAGTTATTATATGGGGGACGACCATAATCTTATAGTTCAACTAAAAAATGGTAAAGAGTATGAGTTTTCAAACGCAGTTGTTAAAAAATGTGTGGAAAATGACAATGGATATGTTCTTGAACTCAATGACGGGACGGATTTAATTGTAAATGAATCAACTGTTGATATTAGACCACCTGAAAATGGAACCTTTAATGTAAATAATGTTAGACAAGGACGGGAACAAAATGGCGATCTTGTTTTGGATTTAAACAATGGAGATCGCATGGTTGTTAAATCTGCAGAAGACTATCAGGATAATGGAGATGGAAATTACTCTATTAACGCCAACGAGAACACAGAACTAATGACTACTGATTCGCAAGATAACAAAAATACAACCACTGCTGATGAAGAAAGTGAAAGCGAGGACGAGGATGATGATGACGACGATTCTTCTTCAAGTTCATCACGCTCAATTTTATGCATAACATTTTTGATTGGATTTGTTAGTGTTTGTGTGTTAATATAAATAAAATTTTGTTTACAGTTAGCATTTTAATGATTATATTTATTTTTATAAATAAAGTGCATATAATTAAAGAATTGATAGAATTTTATATTTCAAGTGTCTGAATGATTTACAAAATGCAAAAAAACACTAAACTTTTTAGCTTTTAAAGTTAATTACTTTAAAAGTTGGTGTGGTTGTAGAATCATCAAACTTGCAATTTTAATTTACATAATAACTTCTTATAAAAACGAAAAAATAATTATTAACAATAAATACATATAGAGCCTAATAAAGTATTTTTTATACTTCTTTTAAAATACTGTTATACAACAACATTAAGTTATAAAATAAATTGTATGTAAATACATTTTAAAGCGCCCTTTCCACATGTTTTACGATCTTAACATAAACTATAAATATAACTTAGATGATTTAGACGAACTTGAACATAGCAAATTTGCAGGATTTTGCATCAATAAAGTCATTTCACAACGAAATATTAACAGCTTTACTAACTTTGCCTTACCATTTCACCTTCCATCTAAAAAAATATTTAAGAAGATCACAGTAGAACTAGAAGATAAAAATTACAATACTAAATCACTGTTAACTAAATGTGATATACTGGCTCTTAAAGTACTCGACTTTGATAACCCAGTTGATGAAAATATGTGCGATGTTATTACATTTGATTGTAAAAAAGTTGTTAAGTTTAAAAACATCAATCCTGAACTTTTTTACGAAATAAATATTGTTGACTCTTTGTACAATAAGAAGGATAGAATGGCGTGGATGTACAATGTGAGAGAATTGATTAAAGTAACCAAGTGCAAGAATATTGTAGTTGGAACTTCTGCATCACATTTTACCGAAGTAAAGGAACCACTAGATGTTATTAAAATGTTTTCTATATTTGGGATAGGTGATGATAAATGTAAAAAAATTTTAGAAAATAATGCAAGATGCTTAGAAAAATGTGCCTACAAAAGATTTGTAAGTGACAACTGTGTGTTTAACGATATTCCTGAAGGAAGTCTTAAAGAGGAATTTATACTAAAAAAATTTGAAAGCGCTAATAAATCTTACAAATAAGAATAAAATTATGGATTTGGATTGAATAAAAATCCATTTAATTTATAAAAATAACAGTACTATTTTCATAGAATATAATTTCTTGTGCACTTAAGTCTTCAAGTACTTCATCAACATCCTTTTTTGTTATATTTAAATCTGATGAAATTTTACTAAAAATTTCATCTAATGTAATGCTTGTCAAGGATTCATTATCTAGTCTAATTTCATACAATAAATTTATAATAAAATCTTTTTTTGCATTATTATTCTCAACAATTTGAATTTCTTCATCTATGCCATAATTCTCCGTATTAATCTCTTCATATTCATTCTCCGTCTTATGCCTTTTATTTTGATTAACAACTTGTTGAAAAAGCGTGGAATTTAAAAGTTCAATAGCTTGTTCTACATCATAGACTTCTGTAATTTCCGATAAACGTAATTTAGCATTGGCAGTAGAAAGACGAATAATTGTTTCTAACATTCTAGGAGTAATTGAAACAATTTGTTCTTTCTTATTTTTAATTTGTCTAAATTTTGTATATTCTTCAATAACAACTTTACTGGCTTCTTTAGTCAACATAGGTTTTATGTTTTTACATGCTTTAATATAATCTCTAAATCCATTTGAATCTTCAACTTCCTTTTGTACCATTATAGAATGATTATTGATAACATGCTCTGAGATTAAACAGTCTAGATAATAATCTGATTTGTCTAAAACAACAAAAATTAGATCAAATCTTGTCATAATTGATTCGGGTAAGCGAATATTTTCACTAGGTCTTTTACCTTCTCTATACATACCATAAATGGGATTGGCGGCAGCCAAAACAGAGCATCTGGCATTTAAAGTTGTATGTATCCCAGCCTTAGAAATAGTAACAGTTTGTTGCTCCATCACTTCATGTATTGCTACCCTATCAAGATCATTCATTTTATCAAATTCATCTATACACACAATTCCACGATCTGCCAAAATCATTGCACCAGCTTCTAATCTTTTATCTCCAGTATCCTTATCGATGACTACAGCCGCAGTAAGTCCAACACCAGAAGAACCTTTCCCTGTAGTAGCAACAGAAATTTCATTAAAGTTATATACAAATCTAAGCAGTTGGCTTTTAGCAGTAGAAGGATCTCCAACTAGTAAAATATTAATGTCACCTCTAATTTTTGCACCATTTTTCAAAATAACTTCATTACCACCAACAAGCATCATAGCCAATGCTTTCTTTATTTTATCATGTCCCCATATACTCGGCGCAACAAACTTAGTTAAATTATCATAATTATATTTAGAAATATCCCCTGTTGCATAAACACTTTTTTTCATTAAATCAATATTATTAACTATTAAAACATTTTTGAATTTAGATGGGAACTCCGTAATACCTCCTGCAGCCAGGCTTTTGTAAATTCCATAACAAATAACCCTATCACCAGGCTTAACTTTGTCTACTAAATCATGACTTAAGATACATTCTACACTTCTTGGTAGCTGACCACATGGAGAATCTTCAGGCATTTCTTGTAAATTAATAGTTTGATAATCTATATAATCACTTAGTCCATATTCAGTATTTAATAACGATCCATCAATATCTCTAGTAGGATAGACAGTATTTGTAAGCGGCAACTTTGTAATCATAGTTGAATCTCTGTATTCTTTTTGCACAAACGAGGATTTAAAATTGTTGTAATGAACACTTTTAACAATCTTGGGTCTACAGATCGAACAGCTAGTTACTATTCCTGTAATACAAATCATTTTTCCCAAAAAAAAAGAATTAATAGACCTAGGGGTAAGTTTGTATTCTCCAAATGACCCTTCAATACCAAATTTAATATTTTTATGGCTAATTTGATAAATGACATCCTCTATTTGTGGAACAAGATTAGAAGGGTCATTTATAAGCAGGTTAGCTAGTTGTACATTAAAAATTCTTATATCATTAATATTAATGATTATTCTACTTAATGATGTTTTAAGAAAAATTTCTAAATAGTCTTCATTCTTAGCATTTTTATATTCTTGTACAAAATTTCTAAATTCTTCTATTGGATCAATGATATTCATTTAAGGGGAAAAATAAATCTGTAACTTTATTAACTAGCATATAAATTGTGTAATTTATAAACAGTAACTTAAAATATTTTTACTGATATACAATCATATACAAATTTTAAAATTAAAGATAAATTGAATTTACAATAATTAAAAAATTTGGCAAGTACATTGCTAAGGAGCATTCAATAAATCCAATATTTAAAAATATTATTACTAAATTATATAAGACTGCAATAATATAATTTGTAACCTTTTTTCTATTGGATTTTCTAATTAAGTTTAACACAAAAATTAAATCTTTAATGTTATAAATGTTCACATCGGCATTCAAATTATTATTAAGGCTTATACTAACGGTAGAAGCATTAAAAGCAGGAATATCATTTATTCCATCTCCTACCATACAACAATTATTTTTATAAGCATTTAAAATATTCATTTTATCTTCTGCTTTAAGATTATAAAAATACTCTGAAATACCTACTTTTTGACAAAATTCTTCTACATTTCTTTTTTCATCTCCCGACACTATGATAACACGATAATTATTTTGCAAAATACGTACAACATTTTTAGCATTTTTTATCATCAAATCTTCCACAAAAAACCATCCACAAATTATACTGTTTCTGCTTACATAAATAGTATTTTTTAAGCACATTTTATACTTTAAATTTAAATAGTTACAAAAATCAAATTTACCAATTCTTATTTCTTCATCATCTAATTTACACCTTATACCACATGAACTTACGTATTCTTTATCGGTAATATGCCCAACACATTCTAATTTTCTTACAACATTTAATATGCTTCTTGAATATGAATTGGTAAATTCCTTTTCTAAAATATAAATAACACCTTCTAGTTCTGGACAAATTTTGTAATTAATTATTTTGCTAACCTTTGAAAGTGTCCCTGTTTTGTCTAAAAATATACATTTAACATTTTTTACTATGTCATAATTATTAATACGTACTTGTTTTTCTTTTAACTCTTTATACATCCTTAATTTTAAAATTACATCGGATATCAATAAAACGCACGGGCAGATCTTCATATTTAATTTAACTATATATTCTAATATATCTGGTAAATTATCGAATGTAAAAAATGCATTTAGTACAAATATTATATTTGTAAAAATAATAATAGTATTGTAAAGGGATTTTCTTAATTTTTTAGGCAAACAATCAAATTTTGTAATATTTGTAACTTTCACAACTATCTCTCCTTTTTTAACAATCATCCCTTCATATACCAAGTCTTTTAGTTTGAATGAATAAAGCGTATCTTCTCCAGTATTGGAAGAATTGTCTATTAAACAAGCACCATAAATTATTATTCCTGTTACGTAGATATGATCATTTCTTTTTAAATACAAAATATTATCGCGAGCTATGGATTCTACATTTTGATAATAAACAATACTTCTATCTCTTTTAAGATCATTAAATCTTACCTTAGTGTTGATATGCTTATTATTATGATCTAAATCAATAAACTTGAAACTCTTGATTTGTTGATCAAAATTTGTGACAATCTTTTTAAAATTTGTTTTCTCTAAAACTTTAAATGTATTAAATTTTGCCAGAATATTTAATTTATCTGTAATAAATGTATTAATAATAATGTATATCAAAATGCTTGATGAATTGCCAATGAAACGATCGTCAAATTTTAAAAAATATAAAATGTACAACAGAAGAGAAAAAATTCGATAAAAAACCATATTTTTTCTTTTTAGACTGTTCCACTGCAGAATCAACATTATGAAAAGCTTAAGGTACAAAAAGTCATGACTTATATTTAGTAAAACCAAAAGAAACATGGTTACAAAATAATGCTTAAAATTAATGCTTTGTGTATCAAACCCCTTTTCATTAATTTTCCTAAGTATTTTATTCAAGTTTTTAGTGTAATTTATTAAAATTTCTTTCGAAAATACATTAATATGATATGTGTGTATCTCTGGAATTGACAATAAAATTGCATTAAGTTTATTTATGCACATTATACATGATAAATTAGTAATTTTGATAATTTTGGATTTCATGCAGTAAAAAATTTACTGCTATTTAAGCATTTTTGCATAAATTATTAAATTTAAATAATTATAAATAAATTACAATTTAGTTTAAACAAATATAATCTATAAACAAATATTTTTTTTAATATAAAAATCTTATTTAAAATACGATGTAAAATTTTATTGTTAATAAACAGCAGTTTGTTGAATAAAAGTTAAATGAAAACAAACATAATGTAACTTTGTTTCTTTTTAAACAAATTAGCACAATGTTTGTAACAATAATTTTTTTGTTTTTATTCAACTTTTTACCCATGGATTGTAAAATGTCTGCTCAAAATGCTCAAACATTGGATAAAATTTGTTCAGTAGTTAAATCTAAATACTTAGTATTTGATACTACAGAATCAGTGAAATTACAGCTCATTTCTGAACAAAAAAATCTTGTCTGTAATATATCTATTAATTCGGTTTTTTTTGATATATGTTCTCTAAAAAATATTGTATTAAGAATTAATAAACCACGCTTTTTTTATCAAAAAATGTTAAGCTTAGAAATTGTAACTAAGCCATCCTTTCTAATTTTTATTTATGAATTTGAAGATTATATTTATAGACACAGATATGTTATTTTTAATGCATCTTTATACAAGTTACCATTTGTTATAAATCGAAGCGATTATTTTGATGCATTTTTATTGTATCAAGTAATATCACAAGTTTCAGGCGAAGCTAAAATTTTATTTGACGAATCTTTTGGCAGAGTTTATAATGAAACTATAAGCTTAAAATTTGAATGTAAAGGGTTTTCAGGAATAAGTTTCGTTTTTGATACTGAAATTTTGCGTAGAATTTTATCTATTAATGATAATTTTGATAGTTGCTTGCTTAATTGGGAGGATAGTGAGTCGCCTGTTAATTTTAATTTTTATAGTACTTTTTTATCAGTATTTATCTTTGTAGCAACATAAATCTACACTTGCACTAAAATAAGAATTGTTATATAGAAATTTATATTTATTTACGTTTAAAGTAAATTTAGAGGTGTGTGCTTTTCTGCTTAAAGGCTATTACCCTTAAAAATCAATAAATTGAGAATTATATTTTTAGAGACTTTTGATCTTTAAACATTTTATACTTTTAAATTTGTTTCCATTTTAAAAAAACAGTCTTTTTTATTAATCTTAAATAATAACATTTATCTATTATTCTATAAAAAAGGCATTTGTTAAGTTTAAACTTCATTTCAATTATTATTGTATTTCTTTTTACAGCACTTTGCAAAAAATCTTTTTTAATTTTTAACCGTAAATGAGACACGACGAAATAGATGTACAAAATTTCGTAGATGAAAGGGAATCTGATATTAAAATTTTGGAAAAATCTATAAATTCATCCAGAAAAAAAACAATGTTATTTCAAAGATTGCCATTTTATAGACGAAGACGCACAAGATCAAATTTTTGCAAGAAACAAAGGTCTGTTAGACAAAAACGAAGACACTATTTAAAAACTCATGTTTGGTATGCAAAACGCTTTAAAATGATCAAATTGGATAATGTTGGCATTCCGATCAAAAGGAATCAAAAAAGCAGTAAATTTATTTATAAATCGCAGCATAGAGGATTTATTTTTGATGAATCTTTTAAAAAATCATATGTGTGCTTTTTAAATGACACAAATTTACGACAATTTAATATTAATTATAATTTAATAAATAAAGTACAACTAATACAAACAGAAGAAGGATATATTGAGGCAATTGTAACAGAAAAGATTTGTATACTACTATTGCCGATGGGAATGAACTGCAACTTCGATGTTTTAGCTTATTTTGATTGTTTGATATCATTAATAAAAATAAACGATGAATTTATTAAAGACTTTTATATGGATGTTGATGGTGCTATTGAAAATAAAACTATATTTTACGTTGAAAATATAAATAATTATGAGAGTGGAAAGTTATTTTTATCTTCAAAAGATGTTATGCGTATTTGGCTTCACTTTATAAAAAAAGGATGCATTCCGATTTGCATTGAAGAGATGCAAAGGTTAGCTTTAGAAAATGATTATATGGTCTACCCATTTGATGATGTACACAGCAAAATGTTTAAAATGCTTGAAGATGCACAGAATACCGAATTTATAAATAAATACGAAAGAACACCCAAAAGCAAGAAAACAAGTATTAACTTTGAACATCTATATATACAAACACGTGACAGAGTTTTTTTTTATATTTTCGAGCTTACAAAAGGAGTACTTAACAAAAATGCTTTTATTTACAGTACAGACAATCAGCTGGTTGGTAGAGTAATACGGGGAAACTTTTGTTTTACCAAAGGAAAAAGTAAAGGTCTTTGCTATACTAATGATATGCTTGAACTTAAAAAAACATTTAAAGCTAAAAACTATAATAATAATAATTTTTATGAGATTAAAATTGTAAAACTTTTGCTTTGATTTATTTATTATTGTTTTATTGCAAATACGATAATGCAACCACCTTTTTAGAGTTAATATTGTTTAAAGCTGTTGTTTTACCAATTAAATTATCTATGATAGACAAACTTTTTTATAAAAAAATGGCCAGAGCGGGATTTGAACCCGCGCCTCCGAAGAGATTGGCGCCTTAAGCCAACGCCTTAACCACTCGGCCATCTGACCAACATTTTAATTGTGTCAAACTTATGTTCACACTATAATACGAAATCATTTTTTTCCTGCTTTATAATTTACTGGATTTATGTTAGATTGGTCATCCTTTTCTGTTATTAATAACTTACAAGATAATTTTATTGTAACCAAAATTTTTAGAATTTTAAGCCCTCTATGGGAAATGTAAACAGTACTATTTTATGCGAAGAAGAACTAGAAGAATTAAAGAACACTAGCGTATTTAATTTTGTGGAAATAGAACATTTGTATGAAAGATTCTGCTATTTAGATAGATTGAATGTAGGATACTTAACATACAAGGAATTAAATAGTATACCAGAATTTGAAATGAATCCATTTAATAAATTAATATGTAGTGTAATTGAGAGACGATTTGATTACCAAAACATTACTTTTGCACACTTTTTAGATCTTATAGGATTATTTAATATAAGAACAGATCTGAATAAAAGAATTAAATTTCTATTTGATATATTTGATTTAAATCAAGATGGTAAACTTTGTAAATCTGTGCTCAAAAGAATATTTAAATTAATGGGATGTAATGATGATAAAGAAGTAGATATTGTTCTTAAAATGTATGATATACATAAGAAAGGATATATTGATTTTAATGACTTTACGGCTTTTTACATGAGTGATCCTATTATTGAACAGAATATGCTTATTGATTTTACAAAAAATATTAAACAACCCAGCAAGGTAGGGTTTAAAGATATTATTATTCCTTATTTTTTTAATAAGAAGAATCGATAGTGTTATATACCTTTAATATAAATTTATTTTTAAAATTGGTATTCAATAACCTTTGTTTATTTGAAATTGCTTTAAATACTTGATTTGATTGCATTTTGATTATCAAATATTGTAAAATAAATACTTCAATTATAAACTAAAATATTTTTTGCTCTTCTATTGTATTTTACCCCAATAAATGTTTTTTTTTAAAGGTAGCGTAGACAATGATAACGAAGAGGAATCAATTGATCTTTTAATTTCTAGATTAGAACATAGTGAGTACTTAGAAGACAAGTATGATGCTTTAGAAGAATTAGAAAAGCTTTCTGCAAAGAATATAATAGAAGTGGGAACACATGGTTTACAACCCATTATTTTCTCTACAAATGAATTGTCTGATATTTCTTGCCAATTTAGAATATTAGCCTCAATATTTACGTCTGAATACAGTGACGAATTTATTGCGCTTTTGTTAAAAAATCAAGAATTAATAGAAATATTAATGAATAACAGACATAAAGATTCCACTGGTTTTTTTAATTTACTATTAATTCTTACTTTAAATTTGGATTTTTGTAAAACATTTGTAAAAATAAAAGATGCTTCTCATTACAGTGTTAATTTAATAGATAAGAATAATATTGATATTATTAAAAGATTAATTAAAATTGATAATAATTTTGATAAAGAAATAGTATTTGATAGTATTTTCGAGAAGTTAATAAATGGTGTACCAAATAATAGTAGTTTTGTTAATTTAATACTAGAACTTTTAGAAAATAATCATTTTAATCAAAATTACTTTGTAGAAACTGATTGGTATAAAATGCTAACATGTGGTTATTTTAACATTCTGAATATTCTTATAGATAACACTAATAATAATATAGAATATATAAAAGACAATATATATAGATATTACTCTTTTGATAAAGCACTTAAAGATAAGAATTATGAATATATTTATAAAATGATATATAAATCTAGAAGCTACCGCAAAATCCTATCAGAAATATTTTATAGTGAAACATATGAGGATATTTTTACTGTTAATTTTGAAGACAATATTGAGCATAATGAAGAAGTTAATGAGTTTATTTTGCTAACATACTATTTTATGCATAAAAAAATTTTGAAATTTCAACCAACTGGTTTTGTTTATTTAATCTATTCTGAGCTTTTATGGGACCTTAAAAGTATTCCAAAAATACTTATATCCCAATCAAAATATAAATGTATAGTAGAACAGATTTACTATTCTAGCCATTCTGTTTCTAGACTTTTATTATTATATGTTTTTAGAAATATTGAATTTAATCTAGAATTATCTTTGATAGATTTTAATTTGCAAACCAGTATTTATCATTTAATTATGGCTGACACCAATTATGTTTTAGAGCATCTATCATTTTTTAAAGAAAAAATTTATGATCAAAATGAAAACGTTTTGCTTAAAAAAATATGTATTTTGCTGTGTTGTATTCACGAAATAAAGATTAATTTTAATAAAGCATATATTATAGAGAATGCAAAGTATATAAGAAAATTTCTTATAAATTTAAGCTTAGATTCAGATTTTTATTTGATTGATGAAGCTTTAATTTTAATAATTGATAAAATTAATGAACTTATAAATTTATACAATAATAATTTAATATAAATTTTTTATGAATCAAAAAAAAAGTGTTTTCCGGGGAATTTTTTTTATTTTTGATCTTTGATAATATTGCTTTTACATAATAAAATTTTATCTTTTAATTTCTTTTATTAATATTTTAATGCTTTTTTATTAATTTTATAAGCTTTTTCTGAGATTCTTTATCTTTTAAAAAATGGTCACCACCTTCAAATACTATTACCTCAGAGTTTGTAACTTTATTAAATTTTTCTTTTATATCTTTGATTCCATATTCATCATTTCCAGATATGACAAAAATTAGCTTGTAGTTATTCTTATTCAAATTTTTAAAATGATCATCATCTAAATAAGAAGAAAATAAATCTTCTTTGTTATATCTAAAATATAAACTTTTAAATCTTTCCTTTGTATAAACTACATTCTCAAAATAAAATAATTTATCATTTTGAATTTGACTGTTAATTTTATATTTGTATTCAAAATATTCTGTATCAGATACTGCACCTTGCAAAATACATAATTTAATCCTTAAATCTACATATAGGTTTATGTATAACATTATGACTTGGCAACCAGTGGAATTCCCTAATAGAATAATATCTCCTTGTAAGTCTTTAATAACATTAGATAAGTCAGTTACATCATTATCTATCGAGTATATACCAAAATTGGGATGCGATCTAAATTGAGGGATTATAAGATTTATATTTTTTTTCTTAGTCATGCGATATAAAGTCTTTGTATATGGCAAAGATAAAAGATTATGATACAATCCTCCGACAAGAATAATATTTGTTTTCGATTTTATGTTAGAAGAAAAAGCTATTAAATGATTGACTGTATCATATTCATAAATTATCCCCTTTAATGACATCGGTAAAATTTTTATTGTATTATATATATTTTTTTAATTAATAAATTCAATATAAAAAACTAAACAATCCAAATGTATCAATAATTTTATACTTTTCTTTTATGTTTATTTTTATGCTATAATTTTATTTAAATAAAAAATTGAAAACAAACAAAATGATAAACAAACTATTAGTATTTACTGAAAACAAAGAAACTCGAATAGTCAGAACATATGCCGATACATATACTGACGATGAGATTAAAGAAATTATTTTGTTAGAAAAAGATTCTAATATAATAGGAGACATAATTTTTAAAAAATTTGATGACATTTATTTTTGTTTAGTTGTCAAAAATGAAAACGAATTATATGCCTTAGGCCTTATAAATACACTAGTAGAAACTCTTAATTATAAGTTTCCAAACTTGACAGATATCAATTTTGTTTATCAATTTAAAGAAATTTATGACATTATAGATTCAATGTTTGTAGGGGGATATGTTATACAATAAAAAACTTAGCTTTTTAGTAGTAGTCATAATATTAAAAGTAACAAGAAAAAAAAATATAATATGCTTTATTAAAGTTCCCATGCTTTATCAAAGTTTTCTGCATTAACATCCTCGTTTTCTTTATTATCAACAATATTTTGCAAAGCTTTGCAAAATTTATATGCATTTCCTTGAGATTTATGCAAAGCATTTTTTACCGGCGTTAATATTCTAGCTTTACTTGAAGGAGAATCAAATATTTTCCTAGGAAGTTTACTATTATTATTTTTTAAACCTAAAGATTTTCCTTGCTTGTCGTCCATTTAAGGGCTTATAAGATTATAAAATATTTCAATATGTTGTAAAGTTAAAAATATCAAATTTCACTATACTTTTTTATTTGTACGTCTTTTTTGTTTGAGTATTACCGTTTCATTTTTCAAATATCTAGCGTTATTCAATATTTCATCATTTTTATATATTTCTTGTTTACTAACACTTAGTCCTATTTTGTCATATATTAATTTCTTAGCATCTTTAACATAACATTCATCCAATTCTATTACTTCATTACCTTGTCTAATGCTACAATCAAGTATTATTAATACTTTATTAGATGAAGCAACAACAGTTTCTTTTATTTCTTCTGTTAGTGTACATAAAATCTTAAACTTTGTAAAATTTTTTAAATTTTTTCTAAATTTAAAAAAATCATACAAAATATTATTTTCTAATTGAAACAAGGCTCTTTTATAGTTTTCTTTTATTTTTGTATAATTTTTTGTATTTACTATTTTATTTTCTAGAAACACGTTGTCTAGAATATCATTTTTTACTTCTTCATCATCTGAAAATAAAACTGTAAACATTAAGGGGAATTAATGCCCCTAATGGTTACATGTCCACAAGAATATTTACAAAAACACATTGGAAAGTATGTGGAAATTCAAACTTATAATAACAGAAAAATTGAAGGAATATTAAGTGGTTTTGATGTTTATGTTAATATGTATATTAAAAATGCGAAAGATATAAATTATATTGGAGATGTAATAATAAATGGTAGTAATATTATGTTTTGCAATTTAAAGTAAATAAAATTTTAAATTTTAATGGTTAGCACATAAATTTTGAATAAAACATTATTTTCGTATTTTTATTTAAGTTATTTAAAAGTATTTATTTAAGCTTATTATATACAAAATATTAATTGAATAGTATTTTAAATAAAAGCAAGTTGTACAGACCATAAATTTATCTTAAAAACTATATGCTTAGATGTGTTACTTTAATTAATAATTATAAAGTGCGTGATTTAGAAAATAAACATTCTTTTTAGCTAAATTATAAAATTTATAAACATAGATTATAAATAAATTTAAAGAAAAGTATTAATTTTATAAAATTTGTATCATGTACATGTTTTGTTTATCTAAGATAAAAAAGTTTTATTAAGCATAAAAGTTGACAGACATTAATTATGTGATTTGTTTTATTTGAACATTTTTATATTAAAAATAAATTACAAAAAATTGTAAAATTACCATTTTTTAATTACACAATTTAAATGCATTTTGTGAAATATGTCAACGTTGTTTAAAATCACTTCTGCTACATTTTAAATGTTAAAACTTTTGATAAACTTACATTTAGTTTTTTTTGCTACATTGATTTATTAAATTTACACTTATTAGATAAATGCAAGTATGCTAATGCAATAGTTGTTTTTGATCTAAAAAATATTTGGCAGTTATCGATAAATCACATTTTTAAAATTTGCTCCTTTAAAAATTTATAAAAAATATTTTTTCACCCCTAAAAATGTCAGCAGATCCTAAAATACAGAATGGAAAATCTTACATAATGTGGAAACTTATTATATTTGGTGCAATGGGTGTTTGTATATCATGGCTTGCTATGCTTATTGTATTTGGTAATTTTGTAGACATTAATCCAGATTTATATGCGAGAACGTTTTTGGTCTGGAGGAATAAAGGGGGAGATGCTGCTATGTTTGAAGGTAGATACAAAGGATATAAAAGTCATGATTATAAAGCAGATAAAAAATTTGATGAATTTCTTGATTTTGCTCAAGAAAAAGACGGTTATATCATTGCAGGGAATTATCCACTTCATGCCCCAAGAGGACCAGAAAAGTTGTATACACTGATGGATGACAAGGGCTTGGTTAAAGAACTTTGGATTATTGAATTTAACATTAAATTCTTGTTAAATAAAGATAAGTTCGCTAATAAAGATGCGTATAGAGATTCTGCTATTGATGCTATGAAAAAGAAAACGTACGATCAGAAGTTTAAGTCACAGTGGTTTATTAATGATAAAAACATTGATGAGAAAGATATTGTTGAAGCTTTTAGTGATGGAGTTAATTTAAAGTTGTGGGCGAAGATAGTCAGCTCTTTCTATGAAATTCTTAACAATTTGGTAGAAGGCAAAAAGTCTGACTATAAGTTTAAAAATGGCAAGGTTGAAGATAATCTCTTTGCAGACATTAGGAAACTTTTTACTCCTTTAAAATATGATGATAAAAAACTAAGAGAGAAAGCTAATAATTTTTTTACTAATATGGGAACAGTTAAAGCTTCTCCATATGAGACTTTTACTTATTCAAGGTTGTTTAATCTCTTTACTTTTTTGACAATTAATCATAATTTCGATTACAACACTAAGATTGATAAAGACAATAAACCAAAGGAAAAAGAGTTGTATTCTAAAGAGAAAGCCGAAATATTTGCTCATATTTTTGCCAAGGTTTATGAAAAGCCCTTCACTTATAGTCTTCCTAATCCTACTTTTAAAGATAGATTAAGCCAATGGTTTGGAACAAGCCAAAATATTTCTAAAATTAAGGATGTCAAACAGGAAAGCAATATAAAAAAATCACTTGCTACAATGAAACAAAATGTTGATGCTATTATGCATGCAGCAACAAGTAATCAATAAAAAAATTTATTGAAATTCAAAATGCGTAGGTTTTTAAAAGTAAAAATGAAAAAATTTTAACGTACATTGTTTATAAAAATTGAAATTAAGTTTTTTAAATTTTTTATTGAGTTTAGGTGAGTAAATGACTGTTAATTACAGCTTAATTTTGATGTGTCTTAAGGTTAAAGTAATAACTAAATAGATAAATTACTTTTAATTCATTGGTATATCAAAATTAAATTTCTGTCTTACAATAATGTTTTTCAGTGCAATATATAGTAAATCAAAAACTTGTCCAAATAACATTCAATTTAAAACTAAGAAACAAATTTTAAATTAATTTTTTTGTATGATTTAATATATTTTTTTACTAAGTCTGTGTAATTACTATATTTTAAAAACAATATATTAAATAGAATTAATTGTCAATATTAAATATTTAATAAAAATCATGTTTATCAGATATTTTTCCCCTTGTCTCCACGTACATTTTTGTAGATTTATCCATTCTTGGAGATTGACCTTGTCGTGGGACTAATTGTACAGGATCGCCCAAGCTTAATTTACCTCGTAAATCTATATGCTTTGGACTGTAACTAATCTCACAATCTACATCCAATTCATTTCTCTGCTTTACAACACTTTTAAAATTGCAAACTAGTAAAGAAGGTTCCATTGAAATAGCATATTCTTTCATTCTTTCTAGATAATCCATTTTACAAATACTTTTAATGTATTGTGCATTAATACACTGATATTGGCTATTTTCATATAAACTTAATTCATCCATTATAGCCTTATATTCATTTTCAATCTTTTCTCTGGTCTCTGATATATTTGTTTGAAATAGTCTACACGAATTTTTAAAATATTCTACGGTTTTCTCATAGTGTTCCACAACAGGAGCAAGTTGTTGATTTGACACATTAACTTCATTTTTTAAAATATCACATACTTCAAGATATCCAACTAATCCATGACCACTATTAGGTAACTCAGAATGATTGCCATTAATTTTACACTTAGTACAAATCGGGATAGTACATGTCATACAAAAGTATTCTACAAGAGTATCAGAATGAATAGAACAATAGATAAATTTGCGCCTACCACATTGATTAAAATAGTATCTATTGTGTCTTTTATGAAATTGATCATAGTGCACTTCTTCGTCACATTTTTCACAAAAACTAGCGCGCTCTGATGGACAGAATGAAATTGATTGATTTGATCGACATCTGTCACATACAAACGATCCCTTTGACTTAAGCTCCAATTCTTCGTCATATTCAAAGGTTATAGAATAAAGGGGAAGAATCCTACTAGAATCTTTTATTACATAGCTATAGTCTTTGACATTAAGGTTATTATCATCTAAAAGTAATTTAAACTTTTCTGATTTTTCATTAATAATAAAACTTTCATAATTGTCCGGTGGATTAAGTGTTCTTGAATACTCCCTAGTAACAAATAATGAATCTCCTACAGCCACTTCACAATATTTCACTGTATGTTTGAAGCCTTCGGAAATTGGTATATTAAACATTGGAAACGTCTGATCATCTTTTGTAAATAACTTTAACGTTTTAGTGTCACCAAATTTTTTTTTAAAAGAAGAAATAGCATCAGCATCACTTATATCTTTTATGTCTTCTAGACGCAATAAAGTACTATCTAGTGTAAATTTAAGTATATACTCGATGTCTTGCATTTTTAGGGTTTAAAAAATTAAAATATAAAAAATTGTAAAGGTTTATTTAATTTATAAACTTTTTTGGTACAAACTACGAAATATGTTTAACTACATTGAAAATCAAAACAAATAGTGATATATTTTAATTAACATTTTTATAAAAGCAATTATAGACACATTTATTTTTACGTTAATTTGTTAATTAAAATATCAAAATGTAATCAATTAAAATTTGCAATATATTTAATGCGTTGTGGTGTCTCTTCTTTTTGTTTAAAAATATGAATTATTTATTTTCAAACATACATTCATAAAATACCATAATACATGTCTATTAATTCATTTAACAACTTTGATAAAGTTAGTAAAATTCAAGATACATGTAACAATTTAAAAAGCTAGCGGCAAAATTGATGATATCAGAAAATTTAAATTTTAAGTACATTATTAAATATTTAGATATTTTAAGTCATGATTTTAAACTAATTTAGTCAAAGCATTCAGATTTAAAATTTTTGTTAGGTGTCAAAAATTTAATGCTGTTTAATAAAATTTTTCTCACAGCTAAATGCTTTGTAAATTTTCAAAAACTTTGACATTAAAACTTAAAATATATGTTTAAGTAAAATAATTCGTTAGATGATATACAAAAATAAAAAAACATCATATTTGACAAAACTATAATATTTTTTAAAGTCAGATTACATTATAAAAGCAATGATAAAAAACATAACATTAATTTTCTTAAAGTTATAATTGTTATGAATTGGTGTGCTTGTCAGGAATTGTGCCTGTGGCAAGAAAGCATTCAATGATGCTACGGGAAGATCCGCAAATTCCCAGATAAAGAGTGCTTTTGTTATAATAAGCTTTATTTGTAGAGATGTTGCGGTGATTAGAGTTATTTTTACTCATATCTTCATATTAATTTTCTTATTTATGTTTAGCCAATAAACATAATTGTTTTAAGAAATGAAACAATATCTAAATTAAATCACTAATATGTGATATTTTAAATTAATAAAATAAATTATTTGTTCATTATAAAAATGTGATATGAGAATTATACCACATGAATAAAGATCAATACATTTTACCGGTCATTAAAAAGTATAATAACCTCTTAATCTTGTCATTGTATTTATTATAATACTACAAAATGTATTTTATATTCTTCCCTTTTTATTTATAATTTTTTATACCCGTTAAAATGAGAATAGAAAAATGTTTCTTTTGTTCAAGTAACATTTATCCAGGACATGGTACGATTTTTGTAAGAAATGACTCTACAGTTTTTAGATTCTGTAGATCTAAATGTTCTAAAGCTTTCAAAAAGCGTAAGAATCCTCGTAAAGTTAAGTGGACGAAAATATCAAGAAAAATTAGAGGAAAAGAACTTCTTCAAGATAAAGTATACGAATTTGAACATAGACTACAAGCACCGCCTTTATATGATAGAGAACTTGTTAACAATACTGTAGAAGCCATACCAAGAATATCATACATCAGAAGTAAGAGAGAGGCAATGTTTATAAAAAACAGAATATTAAGTAATAAAGAAAAAATGAAAGAAGATGAACTAAGAATATTAGACAAGCATAAAAATTTATTAGAAGATAGTCATAAAAATGTGCTGGAAGATAAGACTTTAGAAATAGAACATGAGAAGAAAGTTGTTAAAAAACATGCACAAACTAATTAAATCTTATTATAATAAAAATATAAACAAATCTTAAATAAATAAAATTTATTCCACCATTGTTGTCTTTTCAACGACATAGATTCCATCTAAAAAAACCCTAGGATCTAATTTCTTGGCCCTACAAGTATTAGTAATATCTCCCGCTGTTTGTGACACATCTGGTAAAGATGGACCTTCAATAGCTATACAGCCTTTTCTTTCAGTCAAAACTCTAACTTTAGCCTGTCCTTTCATTCTAAATTCTCTTGGTGCCTTTTCTCCCATAAAATTTTTAATAACCAAAAGTTTGCCATCTTCTTTTATCTCAAAATTTATTGAAAAATGCTTGTGTACTGCTTTCATAATATAGGAAAATCCCTTAGTGACGGCAGTAATAGAATTTTTTAGTAAAGAAGAGACAGTAGTAGCGAGCGCAATTTGTTTTCTTTTACCATGCCATAATCTTATAACTATATCATTTTCTTCTACAGTAAAAGACATAAGGTATTTAGTACAATCATGTACTAAACTTCCTTTTGGACCCGTGAAAGTAAAAATTTTTCTGTTAAGTTCTACTTTGCATTCATCGGGGATAGCGATTTTTCTTTCTGTAAGGATTCTAGTCATTTAGGGGATAAAAAAATATTAAAAAAAAACTAAAACCGTTTTTATGCTGCATAAACAATAATGTAATGTACAGATACAATAAAATCAAACGTTAGGTACAAGATGTAATATAAATCTTTATAACTAATATGGGATTATGTTTAAGTAGCACCTAAAATTTAATAAATCTTTCAATAACTTTAATAAAAAAGTTCAAAACATTAGATATTTTAGTAATTTTGTACCAGAATATACTTTAAAAGGCTGTTAACGTATTATTTGCGCAGTAACAGTCCATATTAAAATGTTGTTAGTCAATTTTTTAAATTTGTTTTTTCTAACCCTTTATGTCAAGATTTTTTTCTGATTTAGAAGAAGAAAAGAAGGAAATTAAAAAGAAATTCAACGTTATAGAAAAACAGACAGAAAAAATATCTAAAAAGGATAAGCTACAAATTGAATTTGACAACCGGGTCAATGAACTATTTAAAAATCCAAAAAATGTTAAAAAGTTTGTATCCGATTTGAAGAAATATGAAAATGTTAATGTTTCTGAATCTGCCGAAAAAATTTTGTTTAATGAAAAAATTTATCAGAAAAGTAATAAAGTTTTGATCGATAAATTTCTTAAGAGAACAATAGAAGATACTATTGTTAAGGAAGACAGGTCAAATAACAAAATTGAAGTGAAAAGGCAGAATGAAGGTGAGGTATATGAAGGTATTTTAAATATTTCTGATAAAAACGAACGGGTTTTACAATTAAATAATTTTTGTAAAGTCGTTGAAGATATAAATTTGAAAGTTAATGTATTAATTAATTTATTATCGATCTATGCAAAAGATAAAGACCTTGAAAATACTTATATTATTTTGTCAGATTTGCTTAATTTTTACGATAATAAAAAGACCAAACTTTTTTTAGATAATAGTGTTGATATGTATTTAGATCTTTTTAAAGAAGATGTCAGTATTTATAAAAATATTTTACAAAGGATGAAGAATATAAATACTAATGTTTATGAAAGGCGCTTATTAGATTTAGATTTTTCTGATTTGAAATACACCGATAGCAAGTATCTAGATTTTAAACTAATTTGGTTAGTAAAAAATAACAAATTTGAAGAAAGTAAAATTGTCTTAGAAAATATAGATTTTACTGTTAAACATGACAATATTTTTTATAAAAATTTAGAAGAATTTGCAAATTTGATGTTTATCAACAAAGCCTATTTAGAGGCATATACTTGTTTCGAGTATTTATATACAAAGAGAGAACAAACAGAAGAAATTAAAAAGAATTTTTACATTTTATGTGTCTTGCTAAATAAGAGAATACAAGAAACTGCATTTTTTCAAGAGTTTCTTACTGACTTTAAGAGCTTTGGATCGAATACATTTGCACTAAAAAGTAAAGGTGTATATTTTGAAATTTTTAGAAGTTTTTATCTTTTGCATAACTATGATGTAGAAGGCGTATATAATATTTTGCATGAAATTAAAAATATTTTTGATGATAGAGAGATAATTGAAAATTGTGCATTAGAATTATTGGCTTAGATATTTTAATTTTATTTATAAATTTTTAGTTAAATATTTTTATGTATTGGACATTATAACAATATTGTGATTGTTTTTAATAGTTTTTATATAAAATTCATTTTTTTAATTATATATATACAGGAGATTAATTAGCGGGAAATAAATTTTTATTAAAATTTAGATGATAATTCTTTTTAATATATATTTTAGATTTTAAAATTTCTATAATATTTTATGTTAATACGAAATAAATAATCATAAACTACAAAGGTTAAATTTTTATACTTCCAATACATAAAATTTATTAGATTTATTTCTTCTTGTTAAAAAGATTATCAAAACATAATTTTGGATGTTTTTTTTCTTATTGGTGCGATAATATTTTTTTAATTCAAAATTTTTAAATTCTACAAAATTGTGAAACTCAAATTTTTTTTTTAATTTTTGCAATTTAAAAAATATCTCAGGCTTTTAAGAGTGTAATCTTAATTCATTTTGATTTTTAAAAGGACATAATTAATCTATCTCAAAAAAACAACAAAGTTTTTTAATGTAATAATTTTTGAGTTGTTAGGTCTAAAATTTATTGCTTACTTAAATGTAATTAAAACATACAAAGCATTTAGTTTAAAAGAAATATTTTTCAAACAATTTATTTAAAACTGTTCTAACTCAGTATTTTTCCTATTTCTCAAAACAATATACAAAATAAGTCCACAACCCAATAGAACTGAGCAACCAATAATATACCACAATCTTTCAATGTACCATGGATCGGATTCATAAGCTCGACTGAGAACCCATTTTTTTTGTTTGATATGATATCTAAAAGATTCAGAATAATAATATTCATCTTTTCCATTTTTAAAGATAGTAACTCGTATAGAATATTCTTTATTACTTTCAGGTTGCTTAATTTTATCAAGTGATACATGTAAACTATCTCTTTGACCGACTTGACTTGTATCTCTATGTATTGAAATAAACTGTTCAGCATTAGCCTTTAGAGCACCGGCCATAATTGTATAATCTTTAACATAATATGTATCATCAAAAGAAAGTTCAGCTGAATTTTTATGAAAAATTAATGTTCCAAGAGGGTGTGAAAAACACAAAGCAAATAGCAAAAATATCATTGTTTATTATTAAAATTTTTATTTTATACAATCATATTGTTTACAACATCAGTAAAATTTTGTTAAATTTATAAATATGTAATATAAACGTAAATTATGATTTTTGTACTTTCTACATTTTTGTTTAATCAATTACAAAATTGTTTGTTTAAACAATTGTAGAATTAAAATTAAAAAAAAATTTTAATAACATCGTAGTAGTAGCAAAATTGTGAAATTTATTTTAAAATAAAATTACAAGTTATATTGATCCTTTAATTAAATTTTAAAAAAGACTAAAAATTTAAAAGCACGTAAAAAAATTTGTAGATGTAAACAAGAATAATCCAATATGGCTTAACACGTGATTTTATCGTGACAAAATACCATTCAAATTACAGAAAAAAGCCTGAAAAATCAGATTAAATTGAAGTATACATTTGATTCGTTACTTTTAAGAAAAAGTTAAAAGCATCTCGCTGGAATACAAGAGAAGAAGAGGTCTAATATTAACTGAAAACGAGGGGAGCGAAAATTTTTATACTTTATAAGTTCAATGGATATGAAAGCAAAGAAAGAATATTAAAAAGCATTTTAGCTCTCAAATACTAATTTAATTGGATAAGATGAAAATGTAATAAATAAAATTGTAACAATACAAACTTATGTCTCTGTTAAAATAGAAAATTGAAGAAATAGAAATCATTTTTATTTTCTAAATCGCTTGATTGTTATAGATATATAATCCTTTTTTTCATCTTTAATATTAATCTTAAATTTACAATGTAAGCACTTAATTATATTATTAGAATTGCTAGAATATTTTTATCGTAAGCAAAAAATTTTGATAATTTTAAAGCTTTTAGCAGGTTCAAATAAAAAAACCATTAAAGTAAATTTTCAGCAAAATTTAATGATTTCAACAACGTGATTCATTTCAAACCAGTATTTTGATTAATTTTTATAAATCTTTTGCTATATATTCTATTATTTGAGCATCAACCTATGTTTAACAATTAAATTTAGAAAATTTTTAAAAGTATAGTAATTTTTTTTACAAATAATAAATTTTAATTGTATTATCTTCATAGCTTGTTGCATTTCACAACTTTGAAAAACTTTCTATTGATGTTTTTCATTTGAATTAATAAAATTTTATTAGATAATAGTGCCTAAAGTATGACTTTAAAAACTTCAAGAAGATTAGAAACTACTCAGTTCTGAATTGTATATCAATTGAAAAAGCAGAAATTTAAAAGATAACGGATATACAGAGAGCTATAAAGATTAAGTACAACAAACCCGATACATTTACATTTATTATAGATAAAGTAAAGAAAAAAATTATCATCATAGAAATAGATATTATCTCCTTTGACAACCTAAGAACTGTCGAAGTTGAAAAGAAATATAAATACAATCTACACGCAGATATTGCGGATCTATGTACAAATACAAGATGAAAATAATACCATGTGTGATGATTTGGGAAGGGATGGTAACTAAGTACCACAAAATTTACAAAGAAGATATAAGATTAGACCGTCCAATTGAAGCGTATATACACTTTAAATTGTTAAAAATGTTCCTGGAGAGATTGATGCTAGAATCAAGACGTGGGATTCACACCAGTAAGAAGGGTGACATAGAAGTGGGTTGGAAATCTGCAGAAATAAGCAATATAGCTAAAAAATCGGGGTTCTCTAGTTTGGAACAACGAACACAAATCTAATATACCTAAACTAATTTTACTTATTAGATAGCATGTCCTAATATTAAATATTTATGTAGTTTATCTAAAAATTAATAAAATTGTAATTTTTTTAAACTTCTTGTAAAGTGGATATTTATGAAACATGTTTACCACATCTTGTACGTGAGCAATGAAAAAAAGTTTTTTTAATTACTTTAAAAAAGATAGTAAAATTATTAACAATAATTTTCAGTATTTTATAAAATAATTAAAAGAATCTTTGTTTGTAAAAAATATATATAAGTAATAAACTTAACGCAAGAACGGACTGTCTCGTTTAACTAAATCATAGATTTTATAAAATTTGCCAAAATTTACTTAACTTTACAATAAAAGTTTTAATAAATATAAAAAAAGTAAATTAATGAAATTAAACCTTAAAGAGCTTATTTTTTTATGAATTTTAGTATTGCATAAAAGTAGCATATTTAAGCTTCTGAAAAATTAATTTAATTAAAAAATTTAATGAATTTTTGCATATTTTTTGCCCTTTTTTACACATTTTCAATAATATGCTGGTTTACGCTGTTTAGTTTTACAAACATTTTTTTTATTAAATAATTAATTAAAGTGGTTTTTAACTATCATAACGTGTTAACGATAATTTTTTTTATCTTGGTATTTAAAACTGTTTGTGCTTAGTACAATTGATGGTAAATAAAGATCATAAAACATTTCTTTATTAGTATTTCTTCTGTAAGATAATTTATCCCTAGCTTAGCAGTTGTCATAAAAATGTATTCTTGGTGAAATCTAAGGATTTAAAATAAATTTGGTTTTTACTAAATATCGTTTTTTTCAACAGCTCGGTCTGTACAACGTTTTTATAAGAAACAAAATCGTTCCGACTTAGGATATCCATCAAATACAATTAATGTTAACGTTTTGTTTGCAGTTTTGTATATACAAAAAATTTAAATATTTTTTAGAAAAACAAATTATTAATTACAAGAAATTTATTTTGTTCAAGTACATAAAAAATACGTTTTATAATCATCAATTTTTTATTTAAATAAGATAACACTTTGTTGTAAATTTGTCATAAATTTTCTATGGTGTCATTTTAACATCTTGTTACAAAACCTAGCATTTTTATGACACATTAAATTTTAATTAGATTATTGCTAAATAGATTTAATTATTAAGTATCAAACCATAAAAATTTTAACACATAATTGAGGCTGTATTATAACCTAACTAATTGTATCAAAAATACATTAAAAATGTTAAAACCTTAAAATATAAATTTTTAAGTATAATAAGAATGATTTATAAAGACAAATTAAAAATACTACAAAAAAAGATTTAATTTTGAATGATAACAAGAATTACAATATTATTTTATCCCAACAAATTGTTTTTTTTTTTAGTTTTATATAAAAATTACTTACTTAAGGTAACTTCTATTGATGTGATTAAAACGAAAACATTTTTCCATTATAAAAAAAAATTTTAATCGTTATGTTTACGCAATTTAACTTTATAATCTATCTTTGAACTTTTTTTTAAATGTCCTGTCTTGTATTGTCCTGTTTTGTTCCCTTTATGAATATTTATACCTTTAAAAAAAAATTTTTTAAAAATTTATTTAATTTGCTTAGTACCAAAAAAATTTGAAAATTAATTTTATTAAGTTTTAATATTTCATTAAAAACCAACTAAATACAATTTTTTATTTACATATTAAGCTTGTTAAGAATTAAGCAAAGAAGGCAACAACTATTTAAAAATTTTTTTCTAATATTTTATCTATTATTATACATCAAATAATATCTACAGACAGAATTTATAAAATGTCTAATTTTTTATAAAGTATACTGAATCGTAAATAGCCGTTGCTTAATTTTTTAAATCATATTTATGCTTTAAATTAAAAATATAAATATTATTTCAACAAATAAAGCATAACTTTTGATTTATTTTATAAAATAATGCTGTTTGTTTTAGCAAAATTTATTAAAAAATTCATATGTCGCTTATCCTTGTTTTAAGTTGACCTTTTAAATTTTTTATGATAAACAGCCCGTTCTTTATTTGTATGTAATATTAGCTTGAATAATAATATTTTTTTTGTATTTATCATTTTTGCTTGTAACTACTTCTTAAGTTGTTATATATTTAGGCTCAAAATAAATTGTATTCTTTATTTTAATAAGATATAATCTAGATACACATTTTAGTGCATATAATTTTAAACTTCTTTATTTTCACATATAATAGTACCCTAATATTAACTCATAATATGTAGTCCGCTGGTGTATGTTTAAAGCTCTAGCGCGTAAGCTTTTAAATTTGTTGCAATAATGTATGTCTATCCTATAACATAAAAAAATAAGCCTACTTTTTAACGTAATGTTAAATTATGAATGCAAAAGCAATAAAGTAGTATTTTCTGATGTGAATTCATGGGATAATATTTATTCTAAAATATTATCTAAAAACTGTCATAAATGTGTTTATGTAGCACGGCTTTTGTAGGCAGAGAACTGCTTCTGGGTTCTGTATATATTATAAGAATTATTTTTACTGAACATTTTATTTTTATAATTTTTTTTACATTGTTTAATCTCTTAGAAGATACTAATAATTTTTTAAAATAATAGTTATGTCATGATGCAATCAGCACATAACCACGCTTTTAATTTGTTTGTTTACATCCAGTCTGTTTACATAATCATTATTCTTAAATTAATAATTCACTTACTAATTAAATTCTATAAATACAGTTTTAACATCTTCATTTAACAATTGTTTATTTGTTTTTTTATTTTAATCTATTTAAGGCTATAAATTTATTTGTAACTGAAACTCCAAGAATAAGAAAGACGAGGCTATATGAATCCAAATAAACGAACTTATTGTAAAAGCCTTTTAAAACACGAAAAGTTGGTTTTCGATTTGTGTCTTTGACCCTAAGCGACTTTCATGTACAGTAGTAACCATAAAAAGCGCAATATTTTAACTTATGTAATATTTTAATTACGATGATTATTTACTTACAAAATAAATAGTTTGCACAAATACTTAAACGTTTTTTGTCAATACTTATAAAGAAAAGTTCGTATGTATATGATAATTTAAAATCAATTAAAAATGCCGGTCAAAAACATCAAAATTTATGATTTGGAGGAAAATTTTTTTGCCGTATTTTTTAAAAAAGTATAAAAAAATTTAAAATTTTAACCCATTGCTAAAAAGCTGGTTCTGAAAGATCGAGATTGTGTTATGTTATAAAAAAGGAATTAAACAATAAGAAGTTGCTAAAGAGTACGAAGTACATCCTTCAATTATCACACGATTTAAACTAAAACTAAAAAAAAACAGAAATTTGTAGGGGTAGACCGAATCAGGCAAGCCAAATATTTTTTAAATAATGATTTAAATTTCCAAGAAAATTTTTTTATGAAGAACCAATACTTCGTAGCATAAAATTGCCTCAATATATGAAAATTAAACGTGGAAAAACAATATCTGCAAGAACTATAATAATAAATTATGTGAAATATGGATTTTGGTTGTGTTTCTTGTAAAAAATCCCAATTGTCAAAAAAAAATATTAAGGCAATATTGGAGTGGGCTGAAAAACATGTTTTGTGTTCGTACGAGAGATGGTTTAGTATAATTTGGAGTGATGAATCTAAAATAAATCTTCATGGATCCGATAATAAAAGATAAATAGTAGAGAAAAAAATAAAAAGTATGATAAAGAAATCTCACACCAACTGTTAAGCATGGACGAAATAATATCATAGTATGGGCCTGTTTTAAAAGAAGGTGTCGGAAATATACATAAAATTAAAGAAATAATGGATTCAAAAGAGTATGCAAGAATTTTAGACACAAATTTAGCAACTTCATCTTAAAAACTTAAAAAAAAAATATTTTTCAGCATGATGACGATTTCAAGCATATAAGCAAGTATGTGAGAGAATATTTATATGATAGAAGAATATAAACCATAATTTGGCCTATACAATTACTTGATTTGAATCCTATCGAGAATTAATGGTCAATTTTAAAGATTAATGTTGCTAAAAGAAGACCAAAGTAAATTACAGTTAGAGTAATTTACTACCGAAGAATAGAATAAAATCGATAAAGAAACATGTAAAATATTATTTCAAAGCATAATAATTGTTGTAAAGCCTTAATTGATGCAAAAAGTGGGTCATCTAAGTATCTAAATATTTACTGAGTTTTTTTGTCCACATTTTTTTTAAAAATTTTTCTAAGGCATTTTTCTAAGGCAAATTTAAATAAAAATAATATACAAATCCAAAAATGTAATTAAAATATGTGATAAAAATTCCAATGTAATTTAAAAGTTTTATTTACTCAAATTAAAATTCGAATTTTTTGACCATACTGTAAAAAAACTAATAAATAATTCAATTAATTCAAGGTTCTTGATTAATATGTAAAATTTAATTACACTTTAAAAAACGATTTTTTTCTAAATCATATAGATAAGTGTTAAGGTTTTAATAAACGTATCACTGTAAATATTGTTTGTAAAAATTAAATATTTTTAAATGTTATAAGTACAAATTAATAGTTTGATCATGCAAACTTTTTATAAAAGGTACAGTAGCACAAAACATCATTATTTTATATAAAAAAGTAAAAAGACATCTTACTAAAAATTTTATCATAAATGATCATTTAAATAAATATCACACGATTGATAATGCTTTTTTGGGGTCTGAACTATGCAATTTATTTGTGTATTATAAAATTCTTTCAGATAATTTATGTCAAACATAAAAAAAATTTTCCTTTTCGTTGAATCAATCATTAGTTTAAAATCCAACTCGTTATTCTTCTTGTCGTAAACCAAGCATTTCAAATTTTTTACATCGATATCTTCTTGAAAGTTAAATAAAACAGTAACGTAAGAATAGCCATGAAGAGAATCGATATTTTGATCGTAATCATGAAGTTCAAATTTGTAATTTGGATCCTTAGTTATAAAAAATAAATTGGTTAGATCTCCAAAAAAGCAATTTAGTAAATGAATATCTTTAAAAGTTTTAAAATTCATATCAGAAAGCGTAAGCTCGTTCTTCCAAAAAATATTTAAATTATTTTTTACAAAATTTGTAAGAAATATAGGTATTTTATTTTGTAGAAGTTTATTATCTTTTTGTTGTAGTAATAAAATAAAATCTTTTAAAAAACTAATAATCTTATCATAGTCTCTATCAAAAAATGCTAAAATGTAATCATTATTTTCTAAAGAATGCTTAATTCTTGATTCGGGCCTATTTGTTAAATCATGAAGAAGTTGGCGAGACAATGAAATTATTTTAAGCTTGCTGGACAGTATAAATTCTGTAAAATTATTTTGCATTTTCAAATTTATATCGCTAATATTTTTGGAGATCTTTTTGACTTTAATACCAACCCGAGATTCTAGCTCAATATTAAACAACATTGTGGGAATATGTATGTTAAGAAAATTGTTTTGATTTAAGGCTGTATTAAAATTACAGTTGTAAAATATCTGATTGGTTCCTATAAAGTCATTTGAAAAACAATACAAGTTTTTAATGTAAGTATTGGTTGCTTGATTAGAATGAATATAAATAAATCCTTGAATATTAGATTGTGGTGATTTGATTTCAGTTATAATTGGAATCTTATCATTTGATGAATAATAATTTTTCAGATAAAAGTCATATCTTAATGGGAAAGCATTGCGCAGATAAATTTCAAACATTTTATGCATTTGTGGAACTACTGATACTATTTGTAAAGAATAAATATAAGACACCCTAAATAATACATTTAATTTGTTCATGGGCATTTTAATTTTTTTATTTTATAAAATTAATTATTTTTAGTGTAAATTGTGTTGTATCATACGGGCAGGTTTTTTTAACAAAAATTTAATTATAAGTAAATATTTTTTTTTATTTTTTTTAACTTTACTCGTCCTCATAGATTTGATCATATCATAATTTTTTATTTTTCCTTTGTTGTTTTGTAAATTAAAAAAAGAAATTTTTAAAATTTCAAAAAATAAGTAATTGCTTTTTTAGTACATTTATAAAACTTGTGATTTTTTAATTAAAATGTCATCTTATTAACGGATATAATAAAATTATATAATGTTGTGTTATTATATACTACATAAATAACGAGAACAAATATTCAAATTAAGGTTGCGGGATATTGTGTGGCGACCAGGTGCCTGAACGCCAATTATCAAGGAAACTTTAAATTTTTTAATTAAATCGTCTTTTGTTTGCAGATTTTATTAAATAATGTTGTATTTTTTTTACTACATAAAAAAACGAAAGCAAATACTTTAAGTTAGATTTGAGTAATTAATCGTCGGGCCAGTTGCTTAAATGTCATTTGTCCAAAAAAAGATAAATTTTTAATCCTAATCTACGATTTAAAAAGGAGAACAAAAAAGTTTTTTTAAGTCATAAGTTTGAGGTATTCTTATTGATAAATTTACTTATTTGATTTATTAAAAAATGTTTTTGTTTTCTTCTTCTTGTAGTACTGTTGTCTTTTATAGCTTTGGTAACTATTACTTAAAATGTGTTGAAAGCTGAAGTAACAAACTTTTTTTCTTGCGTAACATTATTAAAAGTTTAAATTTTATTGTAAGTAAATTATGTTTAAATAATACCATTCTAATATTCAAAAAATCATAAAAAATTGTTTAATTAAAGTTTTAATTTGATTGCGTTTTTATCCATTAATTAATTTGTACAAATCAATAAGTCCAGCATTAAGCATACTTATTTGAATTTATTCTAAAGAGCAGCTTAAACATATTTTTTTTCTAAATTTGTGAGCTTTGTCAGCCAGTAAACTTAAAGTCTTTACTTTATTTTTCCTAAGCATTTTCTTCAATTTGTCTACAGATTCACAAAATTTCGATTTTGCTTTTTTTTTATGTTCAACTGTACAATTTTATCCTTTCGTTTCTATTGTTATATCTATACCAAATGTTTTAGCATACATTATTTAATTGTTAAAGATTTTGACACTTATAGGTGTTAGAGCAGGATGTGAAATTTCTAAAAATTGTAATTTATATTTCAACAGATATATTTGTATATTATTTCATTAATTACTGCATTTAATATAACTTAAAAGATAAAGAAGATATATTAAGATTTAGTACAAGAGATCGTGGAAAAAGACAAAATTAAAACAAGAGTATCTACAAATAGTAGACGAGCCATAAAAAGATGATATTTTGCTCCTAACAAGAAAAAAAAATTAATATTTAAATTAATATTACCAGCAAGGACCGAATTATTAAGTCATGAATTATAAGTTATGGATATATTATCTAACTTTAATTAAATGAAACTAATTCATAAATCTTGTAAAAGAATAGCAAGTTATGTAACGACATGGCATATTAGTCAATTAAATACTATTAAAAAACAACAAGGTATAAAAATCCAACATTACCTTAAAGCTAATATCAAGCCTTTGTATTAAATAACGCTTAGAGTCTATCTCGTTGGAACTAAGATGAGAATATGATCAGAAAGGTTCTGTAGAGAAAGAAGTGGCTTAAACTGTATGCGCATTGGCTGGGAAATTAATTGTTAAAACTAAAATAAATGTTGGAGAAGAAGCTAAGAAATATTTAAAGATCTTATGAGCGCAAATAATAGCATAGCATTTTGCCCAGCACAACCAATGTAAATTAAGATCATGAAATTATACATTATTTGTATTTACCCTATAATACAACTGGTCTACAGCTCATTAATCACAATAAAGATTTATTATTGGTGATAAGCAAGGAGTTAAAAGTATAAAAGAAATTTATTTTAAATTAACATGCTTTACTTAATAATACTCTTTCTAACAGCTAAGTCTGTACAATGTTGTTTTAAGAAACAAACATCGTTCAGAACTAGGATCTATTAAATAGTAATTAAAAACTAGGAACATCTATTCTTGCCAAATAATTTTGTTAATTTATGTACTGAAAAAAATAAAAATATAGGTAAGATATCAAAAAAAAAATAAAATTATTAATATGATGATTTTTTTGCTTATTAAATATATTATTTAAAAATTCAAAGATATTCATAAATAAATTGGTGGCCTTAATCGTAAAAAAATGAATTTAAATGAAATTATTTCAACAAAATTATTAAAAAAATTTTTACATTATATTTGAAATAGCTCGAATTATTACAGTTATGTTTATAAATCTACTATGAGGTTTTTAATAGGAGTATAAATGAATATAAATGTTAATAAAATATCAAATATTTAAACAAATTAATGCAAAAATTAATAAATGTGAAATAATTTGACAGATTTCGTTGATGCGAAAAAATTTATCGTAATAATGGAAATTTAAACAGCAAAAAATATTTAATTGCTTCACTAATGTTAATTATTAATATCAAAACTGCCGCAAGTTTAAAGACTAAAACATTAAATTAGTATATAGACTCGTTAGAATTGAAAATATTACAAAGCAGGTGAGTTTTATATATATTTTATAAATTTAAGTATTTCTGTTTGGAAGCTATACATTACTGATTTTAAACAATAATATAATTTACAGTTTAGGTATTTATTTATATTTGAAATGAATTCATGTTATTAGATAATTATCTTTTATACAGCAACAATTACGCTAAAATATTTTTAGAATAAAAACGTCTTTTTTTTTTAGCAATACATTGGTTTTGATTATTGCTTTTTTTAAATTAATATCTCTTAATAATTCTTTAAATCTTAGAAATAGCTAAAAATAAATACTTGCTTGTTTAGTTATTTAAAAACCTTAACAATTAAAAATTTATTTTTTATTTTTTTTAAATTTAAAAAACTATGTATAGGTTTTAAAAATGACCTAGAAATTAATAACGCCACATAAACTGATATGTATAAATTAATTATTTATTAAATTGAAATTTTGCACACTTTTTTATATAAAAATTACTATTTTATAAAACACACAAATAAAAAAACTTTTTGATAAAAAGAGAAAAATCATATAAATAATAAGCTTAAATTTTACTTACTAAACAAGATATCTTACTTCTATTAGTCAATCCTTGTATCTCATCCTTTTCTAGTGTTTGTATCATCAATAGACCACCAAAACTGGCATGGACTTTTATTTTATCTTTATAATCTTCTATTTGATAAATTGTACCATTCATTTGGTAGTCACATTTAACTTCTGTCTCATAGTTGTCATATATTTGAATATTCAATACGTCTTCATTATTTAACCTTATAAGTGTAGAGTGATAATCTAAAATACACTCATCATTATTATTACATTGTAAATAGGCACGAGATACATTTTGGTATAACTTTCCCTCTTTGTCAATACATTCAACTTTATATTTTTTATTTAAAACAAGCATAGAAGGGTAATAAATATACACTACATATTTGATATATCATCATCAATGAAAAAGTTTGAATCTTAATATTTATTTATTTTTTAACCCTCCTTTTTCTTGAAATTTGTAAAATTCTCTGTATTTTTTATTAAGAACGAGTAGCATAAGTGTATCAGAGAATGGGGGAGAGCTGAATCTACCACAAAATTTGTTCAGTGGTGTCACTGAAGCGATAAGTCAAATATAAAAGAAAATACTAACCTTCAAATAAATAATTTAAGTTTAATTGACCATTTTAAGCACAGAGCATTGAAAATATGCATCTTTTTAAAAGTTATATTTTTCATTTTTATTGTAAATATTATGCAATAATGGTTTTTTATAAGAGTTAAAAAATGTAAAATATAAAGCTTTATAAACAAAATACGCTTAAAAATTGTAATGTACATGTGAAAGAAAGAATATGAGTAAAATAAGACGAAAATTTTGTTTTAGAAGGGACAGCTTAGGCAAATAATTAGTAAAGTACCCCTATTAAAATTACTTAAAAAAATATGAGAGAATTAATTTTTATTTTAAGAATGTTTTAATACGTAGTTAGATAAAAATTCTCTATTCTGTACTTTTTTATTTTGTAACATCCTTTTAACATCTTCTATATCAAATTTAACTGTACTAAATTTTGTATAATCATATACTTTATTATTCTCTAAATACTTAAGAAGACTATTAGATGTAAAATTATTAATGTTACGATTAATTATATAATTATTAATGTTTGATAATTTACATATTAAAGATATGTCAGAAATATCAATAGATAGTCTATCAATTAAATAATAAAACTTATCCTTTCTATCTGTTG